AAAAGAGACTTGCGTCCATCAAGTTCAGCCTTCCTCACATATGTTTTTGCTGATGATCCAAAAGAAGGCAAAAAAACAGTCTGAAGCGCTTCCAATTTTGCAACAAACTAGGAAAGGTTCTACACCACTTAGAAAGACACTGTTCGGTGGAATTGTTCCCACGAACAAGCTCCTGGGTAAGAATATTAACTACATTCTGTAGTTTGTTCGGTTTTTAAATTACCGAACTAGACCGACAACAAGCCCTGATTCTCTGGAACTGTTTTGTGCATGGAACCATGCGTGCTCTCGGTCAAATTATGACTTCCAGGAAATTCCTGAACCGATCTGGGTTATTTTTTGGATATGTTGGTCACCCAGATCGGGGCTATCGGGGGATGTAACTTTTGTGGGGGGTTTAAATGTATTTTGGGGGTTTTGTAAAAATGTATGTTTTCTGTGCCTGGAGATAATTGAATTTAGTACAGTTCCTAACCCAACTATCTCTCAGGCACAAGGGAGGGATTATCCTATTTTGTATGGCAGTGTCCTCTACCTGGGAGGCAATGTAATCACGTGTATGTATTTACTGTAGTCTACTCTCAGGTCCAGTGGGAGTGCACCTTGCATGGGGACCTGCATATAAGGCCAGTTGGGGCTGCCAATAAATGAGCTCCTGCTTACTCTCAACACAGAGTCTCATCTCATGTTTGCAGGGTACCGCTATACCAGCTATAATCACCAGCTCTTGTAAGAGCTACACTGCTATCCTCTCTGGGTGCTTATGGTACTCGGCGACAGCTAAGAAGCAGCGATTGGCGGAGGCACCCAGTTGGGGTGCCAGGCGGTCCGTCACACCATCCTTTAACCATATAATCCACCTCCTGCAGGGAGAATCCATCACTTCATTCTTAACCCCTTAGTGAACAGACCGCTTTTCAATTTTCTTACCGTTAAGGACCAGGGCTGTTTTTACATTTCTGCAGTGTTTGTGTTTAGCTGTAATTTTCCTCTTACTCATTTACTGTACCCACACATATTATATACCGTTTTTCTTGCCATTAAATGGTCTTTCCAAAGATACCATTGTTTTCATCATATCATATAATTTACTATACAATAATATATGATCTGTTGCGCATCTACAACCGCCAAAAAACACCCATGATAAACCGTTTCTAAATTTTGTCCTGAGTTTAAAAATAAGCAATAAGTTAACATGTTCCTAGCTTTTTTTGCACGTTATAGGGCAATAAGAACAAGTAGCACTTTGCTATTTCCAAACCATTTTTTTCTCAAAATTAAGTTACATTGTAACACGATATCTGACAGGAATCCCTGAATATCCCTTCACATGTATATATATATTTTTTTTTAAAAGAAGACAACCTCATGTATTAAACTTGGGGTATTTTTGACTCTTTTCATGCAACCATTTTACCACCAATCTATGCCAAACTTAAAAACAATAAAATTATTGGTGATTTTTTTTACACACATTGCAATTTAAGAATACATGTACTGAGAACTTTAAGAGTTACTGCCAAACACCCCAATATGTGTTCAGCAACATCTCCTGAGTACAGTGATACCACACATGTATAGTTGTGCCGGGTTCTTTGAGGGCTAAAAGACCTTATTTAGTGTGTGCATTCCAGTTTTCCCAACTTAGAATTTTCACAGCTGGTCATCATGCACCCATGTCCTATTTGGAACAATTTGTGAAGCCAGCCAATGTAATTTACCCCCATCAAACCATATGTTTTTGAAAAGTAGACACCCTAGGGCAGGGGTAGGCAACCTACGGCACTTGTGCCACGCACGGCACTCGAGGTGTCTTTGCACGGCACTCAAGGCTGCTAGAGCCAAACAGGCTCTGGCCTATCAGGAGTCCCAGTGAAACTTCAAATATCTGCTAATACGAAAAGGTGGTGAAGGACAATCCTCAATTTATGCATTGCAGCACATAGAGTAAGTGATTTCAGATCACTTACTCCCAGCACTTGTGAATGGGAATCCACACTGTAGTAGAGCAGCCTGCAGCTGCTGTTGCAGCTCCTGTCCTGTACCTGGCCAGCCTGGTCCCCACTGGAACCCAGGGAAGCCACCCACACTGCTAGATATACACAGAAATGCAGAATAAGCCTCCCCTCATACAAATAACACAAACAGCCCACACACAAACACAAAACACAATCTGCACAAACGTAACCCGCTAACAATCAACATATATGCACACAATCTCACATGCAATACCCCAAACAGCCCCCACACATACACACACTACCAAACACACAATGTGACATATCCATCCACACAATTCCACAAGCAGCCCCCATACACAGCACACATTCATAGGTATCATACACGACACCACAAACTACTTGTTAACATATACAATATAATAGCTCATATATGCACAAATACAACAATACAAAGCAATTACAGTATAAATAACACAAGCAGAATATGGAAGCATACACACCTCAATTTAAAAAAAATAGGACCGGCACGCTACGGGACATCACAACCTATATCGGCACAGTGCTGCTAAAAGGTTGCCTACCCCTGCCCTAGGGCATCTCAAATGGTGGTATTTTAACACTTTCCATGCACTATTTCTACCACCAGTCTTTGTCAAACTTTTTGACTTTTGGCCAAACTATTTGTGTGTTATTTTTCTCTCACATTGTACTTTAAGCATGGATTCTCAGTTCCTGATATGTGTTGCTGACAACATTTGTAAAAGTAAACAATCCAGGGTATTCAAATGGGGTATGTCCAATCTTTTTTAGTAGAACTAATTTGTATCAATGGATCATTACCACCAAAATGTAAATATATCTCCATGTGTTATAAATTGATTGTTACGCGCGAACACTTTTCTCACTTGAAAATCACCAGGATTTGCAATTTCCAATCTTCACCACATAGTGGTTTCACAATGTGTAACACACATATAAAACTAATCCGCTCATCTAGTCAGCGCTGCGTAATCTGTTGGCGCTTTATAAATACCAGTAATAAATAAATAAAGTATTTTTGAACAGCACTGAAAGATGTGTTACCACCACAATACCCTTTCCCCCTTTGTGATAATAGCCTGAGTGAATAGAGCTCAGAGATTTCTAGCCAATTTCACTGTTCCACCCAAACAATAGCCAAGACTTAGTGAAGGGGAACTGGTTTATTGGGACAAAAGCCACTCTTTTATAACCTGGGACTCCAACAGGGGGCCATTAGGAAAACATGAGATACTGCACAACATATGGCGCACAGGTGTAAACGGCTGGAAAGGGATTTAGGGGTGATTATTTCTGATGACTTAAAGGTAGGCAGACAATGTAATAGAGCAGCAGGAAATGCTAGCAGAATGCTTGGTTGTATCGGGAGAGGTATTAGCAGCAGAAAGAGGGAAGCGCTCATGCCATTGTACAGAACACTGGTGAGACCTCACTTGGAGTATTGTACACAGTACTGGAGACCGTATCTTCAGAAGGATATTGATACTTTAGAGAGGGTTCAGAGAAAGGCTACTAAACTGGTTCATGGATTGCGGGATAAAACTTACCAGGAAAGGTTAGAGGATCTTAACATGTATAGCTTGGAGGAAAGACGAGACAGAGGGGATATGATAGAAACATTTAAATATATAAAGGGAATCAACACAGTAAAGGAGGAGACTATATTTAAAAGAAGAAAAACTACCACAACAAGAGGACATAGTCTTAAATTAGAGGGACAAAGGTTTAACAATAATATCAGGAAGTATTACTTTACTGAGAGGGTAGTGGATGCATGGAATAGCCTTCCAGCTGAAGTGGTAGAGGTTAACACAGTAAAGGAGTTTAAGCATGCGTGGGATAGGCATAAGGCTATCCTAACTATAAGATAAGGCTAGGGACTAATGAAAGTATTTAGAAAATTGGGCAGACTAGATGGGCCGAATGGTTCTTATCTGCCGTCACATTCTATGTTTCTATGTACCAGTTGTTGGTGACCAGGTGGTCTTTTACACTATATAAATAGTACATGGTACCATCTAGCCTACGAACATTTTTCCAAACTCTTATTCGATGTGCTGGAGATGCAATCAGGCACCATGTTTCACACTTGTTGGAGCTGTACTCCGCTTCAACCACTATTGGAATCCATCAATAAACTTTTTTATATCAGAAACATTAAACTGACTGCTATAGCTATGACTATCCTCTTGCTTGGATTTCCAGTGTGTTATACACCAGCACAACAGTAAATTATGATCCACATTCTTCTTACAACACACAGCGTAAAAAATTGGAAATCCACCATTCCACCAACCTTACCAGCAATTATAAAACTTATAGATACTCAATGAATTTCTGAAGATTAAGAGCAATTTACAAATCCTCCCCAACCATACAGAAAACATGGTTGATGTGGGACGCATGAAGATCAAGTAAAAACAAATTTTTGTTTTCTCATATGTACTCCCTCTATAAAAATTTCAAAAATGCAGTTGTTATACTAAAAAAAAAACTTTCATTACAAATGTAATTGTAACCACATGAAAGAAAGAAGCAATACAAGGTTTTATCCTTCTGCTCAGTACAAAGCAGAGGTGAGTGAATGCTTTGCTACACTTTCACGAAACACATAGGTTGCCGTATTAATTTAAAAAAAAAAAAAGAAGGTTGCACAAACGTGTATTCCACATAAATGCCAAGAAATATTGGCCAATATTGAAAACCGTAATTGTTACTTTTTTTTAGACTTCAAAGCCCACTAAAAAAAAAAAAATAGCTCAACATTAAACAGAACAACCATAACTGCACACCTCTTATTTCTCCTAATATAGATTATGTTGGGTGTTGCCTATCCTATTCTATCCATAATTAATGCACTATTATAATGTCGGTATAATTTGCTGTACTAACCACTTACAGTAATATATCCTGTAAAGTGCAAAGTACCACTGTTATTGCTACATAAATAAAATACACATAATTTAAATACTAATTTTGCTTTCAGTTTATTCTTGTGCTTTATAAACTTTACAAAATAGTTCAGACAAGTGACAAGTTCAATAATCGCAGTTCAATGCAAATCTGCATTAACTAGATTCAATGTCTTTATTAAACCATTAGATTAACATTTAGGAGAGGTATGAAGAGTCTCATAGACAAGACAATATATACATATATAGGAATTGATCAATGTGCAGGCATTAAGTATGTACGAGTTAGCATTATCTACATTACTTTCTATTACAAAATGGCATGTTCAATCTGGACAGTCATCAGAAGGTTCTATTTTCTACCAGATACTATAGCTCTCCTCTTGCATGTGCATTTACAGATGCGCTAAAATGTTAGGATTTAAATGGGCAATTTTTTTCTTGCCTTAAGAATATTTTAAAAAATATAAATGTGAAACTTCTGAATTTGTAGGAATGATATCCAATTGGTATGGCTAAGGTAGACATTTTACACTTACTTCTAACCACACCAACTGAAAGCAGTCAGCTGACACTCTCAGCCAGTCACAGCTGCCTATTACTGCTCAGACAAATTCTTCCTCATTAGCCTGAACAACACAGGAGGGTATGGGCTGCTGGAAACTCTTGTTTACTATTAAAACATTAAAAAAAAGTTTAATACTGAATGGAAAAACTACCAGGGGACTCCACTTCATGTAACCTCTTCAATGAGAGGAATCAGTTATAGTGCCAACAATCTTCATTTTACCTTTCAAGCAGCAGAATTATGGTATATGCTTCGAATGCTTTCCAATGGGGAAGGCGTTTGCGCATTAGGTTTCCTCACGATGATGTCAGAGAAGGCAGAGACAGAGCCTGACTTAGTGCTTAAAGGGTTTTTAACCCTCTGGTTTTCCAGAGAGGGGGAATGGGGAGAGGGACACTATAGTGTTATAAATACAGCTTTGTATTCTTTACACTACATGTTCCTTAACTCCAATTGCCTATTTAATGAACGAACCCTGCAGAAATTAGTGAATATTTGACAAACAATTAATTTTCTATAAGACTGAACAGCACAAGATCAACAACATATATTTAAACATACAAAACACATATGTCATGATTTGTTTGACATTAAATTGAAATACTGAATTATGACAAACACAAGACTGGAAAACGAAAATAAAAAAACACCTTTATTAAGATTTCAATAAATGAATTTTCTGTAAGGAAAGGGCGATATTATAGACAATGTAGAATCTCCTTTCTGAATGAGAGATTGACAAAGATTATGAGGCCTGTAGCACAGAGTTTAAAATATACAGTAATCACACTGCGTTTTTCATACAATGCTGGGTCCTTGAAAACCATCAGTTATTTTACATTGATTTTTATTGATAGTCAAGGTGAGTGAAACATTTTCCACCAAATAAAAATGAAAGGGCTTTCTGCACCTGTACAGCATAGGGATATGACAAGATTTATTTATATTCACATTGATATGTTAACATGTACATCTCAGCCTGTATTGGTTATTGAAACAAGACATACAGTTTAACAGGACACTTCAGGCACCATCACAACTGTAATGCATCAGGTAGCATTTGGCAACAACAGTATTCGGTTTTGTTTTTTCCACTCATACACAAATATATATATATATATATATATATATATATATATATATATATATATCAAATAGGTTATGGTGTGAAAAATTGTGAATGAAAACCCCTTCCACCTGAAGTCTGTGGATAGTTAATACAATGTTAAACAAAAAATCTGCACACCAGTAAAGCCATAGGACTTGCTTTTCCCACAGAAATCACAAATTTGCAGTGATGTTACTACCTCAAAGGATTCTGGATTTCTGTGGGAAAAGCAAGTCTTGTGGCTTAACTGGTGTGCAGATTTTTGTTTAACACTGTATTAAATATATATTCCACACCTCTCCAATTTTAACATTTGTGCTTTATTACCAATGTATGTATATATGCAGGTCAGTGAGCTAAGCCGCTGGAAGTCAGGCACACTCACACATTTAGAAATCCAGTTATTAAATCTCTACGTGTCTGTCTGCTCTGAACTTTGCCTATCTAGTAAACAGTGCACAAGCAAGGCTTTAAAATGATTTAGTAGAGATTCTCCTTGCACAGAACAGAGAGAGAAATGTGATTATTATTACAGGTATTTCACCGTGCTAATTAAAATGCTGATTAATCTGGTAAGGTATACTGACAGTTGACATTTCTGATCCTCTGTGAGAAATAAGTACTTCATGCTGATTGGTTGTTTGCCAGCTTTCTAAAAGAAACTGGTTAACATTTTACTCGGATATCGCCGGAGAAGCTGCAGAAGTGCAGACTGCTAGAGAAAGAGGTATTTATAATAAATGTTTACAAATTGTATTTAATGCACATTTTTATGAATCACCTAAGTAACATATATAACAAGAGCTTTCACCTGGGAGTGCTCTTTAACCCATGAAAAATATCAAAATATTGAACTCCCTCCCCCCAAAAAAAAAGAAAATATTGTAGCATAGTTTAATTTGTTATTGCTACAGACATTTGATTTTTAAAGGTATTTGGACTTCTGGTAATGGTGAAATACTCTGTTCACTTTTTCTCTGTTCTGGTAGCATCACCCATATAAGTAAAAGTTTTTTAATTAAGTGAGAATTCAAAGAGCATTTCACATTTAAAGGACCACTCTAGGCACCCAGACCACTTCAGCTTAATGAAGTGGTCTGGGTGCCAGGTCCAGCTAGGGTTAACCCATTTTTTCATAAAAATAGCAGTTTCAGAGAAACTGCTATGTTTGTGAATGGGTTAAGCCTTCCCCCTAATCCTGATTTTCACAGTGAGAGCACGCCAGCGTCCATAGGAAAGCATTATGAATGCTTTCCTGTGTGACCGGCTGAATGCGCGTGCAGCTTTTGCCGCGCGTGCGCATTCAGCCGACAGGGAGGAGAAGAGGAGGATCGGAGGAGGAGAGCTCTCCGCCCAGCGCTGGAAAAAGGTAAGTTTTAACCCCTTGCCCCTTTCCAGAGCCGGGCGGGAGTGGGACCCTGAGGGTGGGGGCACCCTCAGGGCACTATAGTGCCAGGAAAACGAGTATGTTTTCCTGGCACTATAGTGGTCCTTTAAGATCAGGGTAGATGGACTGGAATCAATTTCTTGAGTTTGGCTATTTTGACCTTAAACTTTAAATTCACTTTTGCACACAAACCTTGTGTGACTACTGCCAACTATTTTGAGATCAATACGATAGGAAGAGAAAATAAAGAAACTACTATATTTTGAATTAATTCTATCGCCATTACAACATTGCTCAGTAACATGCCATACAAGCTTAAAGTGCAACTACATGTATTCCTGACCCTATAGTTTTAACACAACCATCTAGCCCCCCTGGGCCCCTCATGCCTCCATAAATATAGTTACTTACTGTATTCAAGCCAGAAGCTGTAAATCTGCATGCTGTTAGACTCAGGAAAAACAAGACGTCTGCTGACATGTGATAGCCTGATCCAATCACAGTTCTTCCCCATAGGATTGGCTAAGACTGACAAAGAGACAGATCAGGGGCAGAGCCAGCATGATTCAAACACAGCCCTGGCCAATCAGCATCTCCTCATAGAGATGAATTGAATCAATGAATCTCTATGAGGAAAGTTCAGTGTTTGCATGCAGTGGGAGGAGATACTGTATCACGGGATGCTTGTGCACAGCAGATCTGAGTGGATGGAGGCATACTAAGAAGTCCCTCTGGTTCACTATGAGTGACTGCAACTGGATGTGTTCCTAGCTTTCAATGTAAACACTGTATTTTCTCAGAAAATACAGTGTTTACATGAGAAAGGCTGCAGGGAGCTATAGTGCTCACCTGAACAACCTCATTAAGCTGTTCAGGTGACTATAGTGTCCCTTTAAAAGGTCTCTTTAAGCAAGGTTTAGTGTTTCTGAATGTAAAACTGCACGGTTTAAAATGGATTTCCTATTTTATGTAAGCGAGTCAGTGTAATGTCAATATTTCCATGGTGTATGCATGGTTTAATATTTACACGCTTTACAAAAAATGCAAATTTGTATTTCCTCAACAAAAGAAGTGATCAGGATGCTATATGTAACTTTCCAAAGTGCTGACTTTATCCCATAAATCTCTGCAGAGTCAAACTTGGGCTGAGCAGAGGTTTCTAAAAATTGTAGTTCAGATAGCCTTTCTTTAACTTATGAAAGCTGTCTATCTAAACATACATCTTTGCTGTGATGACATAAACATGTGTGTTATTGATGTTGGGAAGGACAGAATGGATGAACATATATACAGTAACCAGCAAGACAGAAGTAGAACAGAGGAGTCCGTTAAGAAGCAGAATGATGCAAAACATTTATTTTGTAAAAAAAAAACAAAAAGCAAATTTAAAAAAAAACAAAAACCCCCCCCACAAAACTATTCAGATTCTGAACATGAAAAACAATAAAGCATATCAACATAACATATGTATTGTTAGTAAGTTGTGTTGATACCTCACTTGAGCCTTTCATTTAAAGGTGTTAATGTTGCATTAGTAATGTTTTAGATCAGGGATTCTTAAAAGGGGAACAGTCACTTAACAGGGTTTTAATATTCCGTTGCTTATCCTTGAGATATAGATATATATATATATATATATATATATATATATATATAAATATATATAATTTTTTCTGAGAAAATATTAACACAAGCTATATGGGAGTTTTCCATGTTTTATTCAGTGGTGTAAAGAAGTGACGGTTTCACTTCAAGGTCAGGATTCACAACTGGTATCCACTGGCTGTAACTAAATTATTTTTTAAATTGCATTAGAAAAAAAAAAAAAAAAAGTGTCATTCATGTTCTTTGTATATATACTTAATATATACAATATACTATGGCTTTTCAAACAAATTCCAAGACAGATGTGTTCAATTGGTGGCATTGGGATTAGGAGATTTCTCAGATCAATGAGCTAAATGAATACAGAGAAGGCGTTAAAATAAGGTTTCTCATTGTCTAACTTGAAAAATATAACACTATAAGAATTTAACACCTTAAGGACACATGACATGTGTGACGTCATGATTCCCTTTTATTCCAGAAGTTTGGTCCTTAAGGGGTTAAACCAAGGGTGATAAAAAGGTGGAAGGCTGACCTAGTTATCATATGATTTGTAATACTACAGCTGGGGATCAACCTTTTAGCAAACCCTAACGTAAAAAGGTATGACATTACTTCCAAAGCCCTCTTTGATTGATTACACTAGATAAAAACATAACACTGAGTCATTAGGAACATATTAATAAGCAATTATTAATATCTATTATGTGACATAAAAAAATAAAAAAATCAATTTACAGTAGAACCTCCCCAACAAAAAAATAAAATAAATGATTTTAAAGTAGATTGTCCCCTTCACCAGACATCACTTTATACAAAAGAACCCCTAACAAAAATTGTGATACTGCATTTACCATTTGTAGGTCAACCTATGATATTCAGGTTAAGTCAAAGGGGATAACACTAAGACCAATCTTCCACCCGACAAACCTTATTTTGGGCCTCACAGAATAAAGCTATGTTTCTTAGGTAAAAGGGCTACGTTATCACTATATTTGGTTTCCCTCTCGTCTTTTTTGCAATTAACTGCCAACAATGAATTCAGATCCTAGACAAATGAAGCATTTAACAATCAGGATTGATAGATTTATCTATTTTGAGCTTTTTCTTTAGTTGAACTAGATGTGTACTAGTTATTATATACTATTTATTTATTTAAAATATGGCGATGTCAACATTGGGGGGGGGGGGGTCTTTGCATATTATCCAAAGTCTCCAGATGGCAACAGTTCCACTTTAAAGAGAACCTCTTAAATTATGGTGAATCAAAGACACTAAACAAATTCTAGGTTTTGTTTTGGTTCAAACCTTGGACAACTGCCTCCATCCATAAAGGGTTAACAATGAATGAGGATCCATGGCCTCCTACAGTCCGACCCCCACTGAAGGTATGACTATGGCAGAGAACACACTGTTTCTTAGCCAAACCAATGCATATCAGCAATGGGTAGCTGTAACACTTTCAGTCAATCTCTGCTTCCCTTTGCTGATCCAGAAAATGCTTCCTCATTAAACAGGCAGCTACGAGGGGAGGGGCTAGCAGCTGCTGGGACTCTTCTTTAGCATTAAACCATTCAAAAACTGTTATACATAGAATGGAAGGACAGCACCAGGAGAATATAGCCTCTTCAATGAGAAGTGGTGATAAAAGTGCCTACACTTGCAGGCTTCCCCAAACTCCGGCCCACCAGATGTTGCTGAATTACAACTCCCATGATTCTCAGCCTTTTTCATTCATAGAATCATGGGAATTGTAGTCAGCAACATCTGGAGGGCCGGAGTTTGGGGAAGCATGGCCTAGAGTGTCCCTTAAAAGCAGGAAATATCTTTAAATAAGTTTAAAGGACCACTCTAGGCACCCAGACCACTTCAGCTTAATGAAGTGGTCTGGGTGCCAGGTCCAGCTAGGGTTAACCCATTTTTTCATAAACATAGCAGTTTCAGAGAAACTGCTATGTTTATGAATGGGTTAAGCCTTCCCCCTAATCCTCTAGTGGCTGTCTCATTCACAGCCACTAGAGGCGCTTGCGTGCTTCTCACTGTGATTTCCACAGTGAGAGCACGCAAGCGTCCATAGGAAAGCATTATGAATGCTTTCCTATGTGACCGGCTGAATGCGCGCGCAGCTTTTGCCGCACGTGCGCATTCAGCACAGGAGGAGGATCGGAGGAGGAGAGCTCCCCGCCCAGCGCTGGAAAAAGGTAAGTTTAACCCCTTTTCCCCTTTCCAGAGCCGGGCACTGAATTGGAATATGTTAAAACAAAAACATAAATTTGTTCCAAATGACCAATTCTAGCATAAAAAAAAATCCATTTGGTATGTAATATCTATTGAAATTTTTGCATCATGCTCAGTGACTAGGTTGGGAGCTAGATATATTTTTGCATTTGCAAAATTAATACCCCATAATGCTATATGAACCATACTAAAGTGAAATTACTTGGCTGGTCTGAATTTAGACATTATGTAATGTTTGTAAGTTGAGAAATTTCAAAAAGAGGATTTTCTTTGTTTTAAAAAGTAGTTTTAAGCCATGGCTTCAAGTCTGGATATGAGAGCCTGGTCTGTTACTTACTGGCTCTCGTACCAAAGCATATCATGATAAGACGTACACATGCACTGTGCTGTCACAGTTTGACACAGAGAACCATTGCATAAAATGGTTTACTATGGCATAATCGTAGGCGCATTTTTAGGCACATATGTGCCTCTGGTGTCCCTTCCTCCAGGATGACATCAGAAGAGGTGGAGCCGCAACAGCTTGTGGGAGATTCGGTGTTGGAGAGAAGGCGAGCATAATGATTTAATTTTGTTTTGGACATGCCGGCGGGAAGGGGGGGTCAGAATCTAAGTAGGTGCATTAAGACAGTAGCGTTAGGAATACAGAAATGCTTCCCTAGCACTTTTCCTTAAGTGTACAAAGCCAAAGGATCCATTTTATGAATACAGTAATGGTTTTTACTTTATTATTGGTAACGTAAACTGTCTGTCCTTCTTTTCATGTACAAGAGCCTAGAAATACTTTAAGATGACAGATTATATTAAGAGTGTAAAAAAATTTATAAAAAAAAAAAAATTCCCGCATTACCTTCATCATAAATGGTCAATACATTATTGGGGGAAATGTTAGAATACACACTATACAGTAGCTCAGAAATTATGTTAAATGTTACAGCTGAAATTATGCTTGATACAATAAGTGCTTTAGCTTCAATTATTCCTTTGCTTGCATTAGTTTAAGAAATACTTACAGCGAACAAATACAATTTACAAAAGATAGTGGAAAAACACCTTAGAAATCTTTTAAAAATTGGTAGCAGAATGATTTTGTTAATTATAATAGCTTTTAGAAGTGAATGCTTTTTTTTGTTTTGTGTATTTTCATGGAAAATTTAAATTTGTTCTTCAAATAATTGTTGTTAAGCAAATGTTGCTCTATTCTAACACAGAAATGAAAGGCAATACTATTTTCACTTTTCTTTTGATTTCTAATACAAACTCAAATAATCAAATTTTGGATTAAATAGAAACATCCATACAAAATAAACATTCCAAAAATTAAGATATGGCAACAAAAAAAGCAAAACTGACTTTAAATATTATTTATTTAAAAAAAATATTTAGATCTGCTTTGGTGAAAACCGGATTTGTTTTCCTTTTAAGTGCTTAGTCAGGGGGAGGGGGTAGGGATTTATATAAGATAAATCAGAACACTATGCCTAAATACTTAAACCAAATAGAAAAAAATACACTTTGCTGGCATAGATTTACATTCACCCGTCACATTTCCATGTTACGTTCCCCAGCAAATGAGAAACAAATTATTTACAAGTTTTAATAAATCAATATAAAGGAAACAAACGCTGTTGTTGCTTATTGAATTAGAAAAGGAGTTAACGTTTTGCTTCACAGAATATTTCCTATAAAAAGATATGTAACAAATTAGTAATACCTATAAAATGGCTATTACTAAAAGAAAGCTTTCGTCAATAAGCCTCCAGGACTTTAAATGAAGAGAATGGCTTCACAAAATGGTAGTCTAGATTCCCACAATGAGGACACTGCTGAACATTGCTGTACTCTGAGAAATACTGCATTCCGATGCGTACATCTATGACTGGTTTTCCGCAGTGCTTGCAGTTCAGTCTGGCCTACAGGAGAGACACAAAAATTACAAAGTTAAATCCTCTGAAATATTTTACAGCTGAATTATGAATAATTTAAAAATGCATATGAGCGTTTTAGGCCAAAATAGTTGACTGGGAAGAATTTGCCAAATGTATTTTACATTCTAGACTACTTTGGTTTAAAATTTAAAACTTCCATGCTATGCTATGCACAACTAAAATAAAGAATGTAAAAAAAAAATAAAAAAAAAAATTATTTCCTAGATTAGTGATCACTGCACACACAAAAAAAACGTAAACAACTCTACAGCGAGTTTCTAGTTACAAATGTTCTTTTTTGATAGTCTCAGCATAATGTATTTTAATATGTAAATAGGCAGAGATTATGTGAAACACCAGAAACTGATTTATATGAATTGAATTTCTAATTGCTTTTAAAAATTCATACTGTCACAGTTAAGAATGGCTATGAAAAACATCACAACTTTACATGGGAACTCACCAAAGTGAATCCTTGACAAGTGTCCCGATAAGTGCAGAAAGCACAAACAATGTTGTATCAAAGCAATTTTACATTAAATTTTTTTAATTTTATTTTTAAAGAAAAGTTAGAGAATGCTCATATATAACTAGGTGAAAGAATGGACAAGGGATATTATATGGGCTGTGGCACTGTGTGACAGGGGAATAGGACACACTATGGCACTGTACTTTGGGAGATTGAAAGGTATATTCCCACAAAAGAAATGCAAACAACATAATAGTTTTCTCGTTCGTACCATTAGGCTATACATAATATCTTGAGCAATACAAACCTGACAACATGGAGAAGCTGCCAATATATCGTAGGTATACATTGTTCCCAATTGATGCCAGCTTCCATCCCACCTTGATTTGCATTTAATACAGATTATTTTATGAACACCCTCTAAGCAGTCCACACAGACTGCATAAAGGTGCATCAGTCGTCCTACAAGAAAACAGTAAAAGTTAAACAAATAAGTGTTACCAGCAGTGTAGTTAAATATTGCAGATTCACTGATCTTTACTTCAAGCCGTGCAATTCCAATTGGCAGTTTTATAAAATGAATCACAGAGGACACACACTATACATACACAAAACACTTCCTTTATGTATTTGGAACGTTCACAACTTAACTGGAACTCTTACTACATAATTGCTTGTTAGTACTACTCTGCTATACATAGTTCCGAGACCAAGAAGATTCTAAAGTCCATGCACAATTCATTTTTTAAATATACAGAAATGACACTTCAAATATAACATCTTAATCACATCACTCAATCCATTGCACAGCCATAAATTAACAGGGTTATTCACTAAAGCAAGAATTTAAAGTGAATTTAGATTTTTAGGTCAAAAAGCCAAACTGGAAAAATTCTCTAAGCCAGCTATGCTTTTCGGCTATTCTGGCCTTAAATTTGAAATTCACTTTAAATTTTTACTCTAGCAAATAACCCTGTAAGTATAGCATAAACAAGACATCATCCTGGTCTAACTTCCCACTCCTTATGCATTTTATGCTACCCAAGCACATGTACATAGGCACACTGTGTGCTTATGAATAAGTGCTCAATAAATGTCCCGAACGGTTCGCCGCGGACGGCGAACATATGACCCTGTACCTCACAGTCAGCAGACACATTCCAGCCAATCAGTAGCAGACCCTCCCTCCCAGACCCTCCCACCTCCTGGACAGCTCACTAAGAATGCAGCTTCAAAATGGATGCTGTCCAGGAGGTGGGAGGGTCTGGGAGGGAGGGTCTGCTGCTGATTGGCTGGAATGTGTCTGCTGACTGTGAGGTACAGGGTCATATGTTCGCCGTCCGCGGCGAACCGTTCGGGACATCACTAGTGCTCAATACACAAATCATGGTGAGTAAGATCGGTTTAATATTATATACAGTTAAGACCGGAAATATTTGGACACTGTCACAATTTTGATAATTTCGGTTCTGTACACCAACACAATGGATTTGAAATGAAAGAACATCTCTTTCATACTTTCAACTTTAATTCAAGGGACTAAACAAAAAAAAAATTCTAGGAATTGCGACCGTTTTCATGCACAGTCCCCTTATTTCAAGGGCTCAAATGTAATTGGACAAATTAATACAATCAAAAATAAAATGGTAATCTTTAATACTACGTGAGAATCCTTTGAAGTCTGGAAAGCATGGTCATCACCAAACACTGGGTTTCCTCTGTGATGCTTTGCTATGCCTTTACTGCAGATGCCTTCAGTTGCTGTTTGTTCGTGGGTCTTTCTGCCTTAGGTTTTGCCTTCAGCAAGTGAAATGCATGCTCGACTGGGTTGAGATCAGGTAACTGACTCAGCCATTGCAGAATATTCCACTTATTTTCCTTAAAAAAAAAAAACTCCTGGGTACCTTAACCAGTATGTTTTGGGTCATTGTCCATCCGTAAATTGAAGTACCGTTCAATGAACTTCGCTGAATCTGAGCAGTCAATACATCCCTATACACTTCAGAGTTTATTTGACTGCTTCTGTCATATCACCAATAAACACTAGTGACCCAATGCCATTGAAAGCTTGGCTTGCTCATGCCTTCATGCTGCCTCCACCCTGTTTTACAGATGCTGTGGTATACTTTGGATCACTAGGCATTCCATGCCTTCTCCATTTTGGTACAGGTTGATCATAGTTTATCTGTACAAAGAATGCTGTTCCAGAACTGGGTTGGATTTTTTTGATATTTTTTTTTGGCAAAATTTAAACTGGCCTTTCTATTCTTAAAGGCTTATGAATGGTTTGCACGTTGTGGTGAACCCTCTGTATATGCATATTAATATCAAGTCTACCATAAAGTTTTCTCTTTATAGTAGACTTGAATAATGATATGCTTACCTCCTGGACAGTGTTCTTCACTTGACTGAATGTTGTGATGGGGTTCTAATTTACCATGGAAAGGATCCTATGGATCCTAAATCATCCACCACTGTTTTCCGTGGACATCCAGGCCCTTTTGTGTTGTAGAGCTCACCAGTGATGTACCAAACTGTTGATTAGTTCACTCATAATATTCTTGCTATCTCTATGATGGATTTTTTATTTACAGCCTAAGGATGGCCTGTTTCTCTTGCATTGAGAGCTCCTTTGACCACATGTTGTAGGTTCACAGCAACAGCTTCCAAATACGAGTGCCACACCAGGAATCAACTCCAGATCTTTTACCTGCTTAACTGATGTAAAAATAACAAAGGAATATCCCACACCTGTCCATGAAACAGGTTTTGAGTCAATTGTCCAATTACTTTTGGTCCCATAAAAAAGAGGGGGCTACATAATTAAGAACAGTAATTCCTAAACACTTCCTCCAGACAAGAGAGTTGCAGGTTTTGCAAGCAGTTTTTTTTACAAATACCCCCAATGAAAACATGCATCATTCAATGCAAGCAAGTTTTGAATTGGGGCATATGTACTAAACAGTGATTTTTTTTAACATTTATTTGTATTTGGGCAATGGGGTGTTCCTTAATGTAATGTACTGGAACAACATTTTGTGCAAATCACAGCCCTAATGCATTGAAAATAAGCTCATATGCTCAAGCTTAATTTATGTTTTCTATAATCAGTAAAGCTAGACATCTCAAAAATTGTACTTTGTTTAATAGGTTACTCCAAGTACCATGACCATGTAATTGTCTTAAAGTGTTCATGGTGCAAGGACCCTGTATGTGCAGTATTTTGTTCCAGGCTGGCTAATGAAAGCTGCTGGAGGTAGAGTAACACTTCTGGCAGCAAAATGAGAACTCTAATGACATACAGGGTCCTCACACCATGGACACTTCAGAAAAGTGGTTTGCCTCCTTTCCAGGAAAGTGTGCCACGGTACTCCTGTCATCATAACCATTAAAGCAGGCAGTTGTTATGGTGTTTAGAGTAAGCCTTTAAACCTCAAGTAATGTACCATTTTATGGTAAAAAGAATGTCTTTATGTGCACATTGAGTCGTTTAATGGCAGTAATTTGTAAAAATAAAAAAAATTAAAAAAACATTTCAGCTAAAGGCTCAACCCTCATGAAGTTCAGTTATGGCCTTTCTAGTAGAAAAACCTTACACCTGAACTACACACAAAACCTTGAGCAAGCAATAAAGTGCCACTGTGCAAAGGTTTATGGGATCAGCATGTCATACATTGTTATAGAAAGAACAATGAGATTCTGGTCCAGGCAGAGTCCATTGCAGGAGATGCAAAATCTTACAGCATGTGTAGGAACTTCTACAGGTATATCTTTATTTTTAAGCATCTGTTGACAGATATTTTAGCAATGCATAAAAAAGGCTCAACTCAAGCCTGCAGTGTCCTTTTAGCTAACAAAATGTATAGTACTGCAGAATACATTAGTGCATTTTAAATGAATGCTTAAAATCAATGAGCATTTAGAATGTCCAAATATTTTAAGCAATGTGCCTTTAGTAAGTGATCTAGCATTAATATTTATGAATGTTATCTTTATAATAAAAACATGACCCTTTAAATTTTTTGAACTGTTGGTTCTTTTCGTAAAGTAACACTCCAAGCACCAGAGCCATTAGTTCGGAGTAAGAAATGTAAGCTCTCCGGTTGAGAATGTCAGGTTAGCGCAGACAATGAGCTTTCCCTGCACTGCAAGGATTAGCTCAGGGGACCTAATTGAAGCTCCTGCTTCAAATCTTCTGTCTCACGATCGAGATAAGTAAAGGCAGGATAAGAAGTTTTAAAATGCTTTGGCTGCATACAGTGGGATGTACCATAGCACTCCTGGAACTATAGGCACTACAAGCTAGTCATTATGGTGTTTGGGAGTTTTCCTTTAAAAATTAATATTCCTCTCATTATCGGTAATTAAAGGACCACTATAGGCACCCAGACCACTTCAGCTCAATGAAGTGGTCTGGGTGCCAGGTCCATCTAGGGTTAACCCTGCAGCTGTAAACATAGCAGTTTCACAGACATTAGGGTTAAACCAGTTTCTCGTGGCTGTCTCATTGACAGCCGCTAGAGGCGCTTCTCACTGTGAAAATCATAGTGAGAAGACGCTGCCGTCCATAGGAAAGCATTGAGAAATGCTTTCCTATGGACTGATTGAATGCGCGCGCGGCTCTTGCCGTGCATGCGCATTCAGCGCTGACGTCGGAAGAGGGAGGAGATTTTACCAGCGCAGAGGGAGCCCGGCGCTGGAGAAAGGTAAGTGATTAACCCCTCCTGAGCCTGAGAGTGGGGGGACCCAAAGACCCAGGAAAACGAGTTTAGCTAAAACTCTAGGCAGGCGAACCTCAACTGACTGCCTGATTGCCTGATTGCCTGCCTCCCTCCCTCCCTCCCTGCCCAAACAGCCCGACTGGTCCCCAGGTAAAAAATCCACACAGCTCTCCCAAAGGTAGGGAGGCTGTGTAGATTTAAAATAAAATGTAAAAATAATATGTGAGTGTTGGGGGGGAAATGTGTGTATGTGTGTGTTTCTGGCTGTCAGTGTGTCTGTCAGTGTGTGTCTGAATGAGTGTTTGTGTCTGTGAATGAGAGTGTGTGTATGTGTGTGTGTGTGTATGTATGTGTATGTCTGTAAGTGTGTCTGGGTGATTGTGTGTATCTGTCTGTGAGTGTGTGTATGTGTCAGTGTGTGTCTGTGAGGGAGCATGTGTGTCTGAGTGATTGTGTGTGTCTATGAGTGAGTGAGTGTGTGTCTGTCAGTGAATATGTGTGTGTGTGTGTCTGAGTGATTGTGTATGCCTGTCAGTTTGTGAGTCTGTGAGTGTGTGTGTCAGTGTCGTTGTGTGCGTGTCTGTCAGTGTGTCTGTGAATAAGTGATTGTGTGTGTCAAATCAGAGTGTATGTCAGTGTATATGACAGTGTGTGTCAGTTTTTAACAGGTAGAGGTGTGGCATTGACAGGAAGGGGTGGGGCAAATGTAAATTAGGGAGTGCCCGAGTTCCGTCATGCCTGGGGCAGCACAGATTCAAAATACACCACTTCTTACAAGTATGCAGATAAATCAATTGTGATAAGTTATGGGATGTGTAAACCTTTATATAAAGTTAGCAAAAAAATAAAAATAAAAACACAAAAGAAAAACAAAGCTGTATTCCTGGTATTAAAGCTAGCCTCGCTTCCCCTCTGCCCTGGGTTGCAGCTCTGCTTTCTCTGACGTTGCTCAATGAGGGGGATGCTAATGCACATGCACAGCTGATGCCATGCGCATTAAGCCCTCTCCATAGGAAAGCATTGAATCAATGCTTTCCTAAGGGGAAACAGCTGACTCTAGATGTTCTCTAGATGTTTTCATGCAGAGCGATGTTCTCATGCAGTGTCAAGTTACTTGACCAAAAGTCTGTTAGGTATCAGAAAGCGCCTCCAGTGGCTGTCTGCAACTGCAAGTGCAATAGGGACACTGCACCAATACCACTTCAATGAGCTGAAGTGGTCTGGGTGCCTATAGTGTCCCTTTAGAAACCTTTTTGGCCCTTCTAGATTTTGTTATTTTTTTACCTCATAGGTAAGTTTCAACAAATAAAATAATTTTTCAATCAAGTTTGGATATCATATATCATGATTACCATAATATCTTATTTTAATGCTGCATTTTAAAAATGTCCTAGTCACAAACATGGCAGTTTGCTTAGAAGGAAAAACACTGATTTATCATGCAATTATTTCAGTTGTTTGCTTTGGATATAAATGCTGCAGGATCACTACAATGTGAGCACTACAATCAAGTGTTTACAGGTAAGAGCTCTGCCAAATAAATTTCTCAAAATCATTTTAAATGTTGTAGCATGACCCAACATGCTTCAACACACTACCTACCCATCTAAATTAGAACTCTGCTCCATTTCTGCCCTAATAATATTAATTACTTAGAAGGGACCTAGGTATTAGTACAACAAACCAATTTACAGTATTTTCAAATGATATATTTTTAAATACACTTTCAAAAAAATATTTTTCAAAAAACACATCAATTACAAAATTTTATACTATTAAATCATTTTAAAAGTTTGTATATAAAAATATTAAATAATTTGGAAATCTTCTCCAACAATGTTAAACCGAGACCTTGATGTAATAATGTCCTAGTATCTTCAGTAAAAAAATAATATATAATATAAATATATATATATATATATATATATATATATATATATATATATATATATATATATATATATATATTATTTTTTTTTGTATTATTTTTATTAAATGCACAGTAGAGGGTCTGCCTGCTTTGGTGGGTTTGGTTATATAAGTTGATAAATAGGACCAGCTACTAACTGTGCTTTGATGAATTAATCAAAGTAGATGCCATACATTGCAGTGTTAATATTTAGACTAATAATATATAATTACTTTTTTGTTTATGGAAAACGTTAATGGTTATTAAATATTTTACCTTGAAGGTGACAAGGTACATCATATTCAATCTCATCATGCCGGGATGGGCTCAGAAACATAGTTCCATCCACCAGCGGGAATTGCTCAAAAACAGGGAGCACCCGATGGCACAATGCACAGTTCACTACATTCCTGTGACTAGCACTGAGGGCTGATAGGATGAACTTACGGAGGTCCTCCCCCTGACCAACCTGGGCATCATCTTCCATGCGTACATGGAAAGTGTTAAGCTTATGCCGTGGTATATGTGCCATTAGTTCTGAAAGGTCTAGTCTCCGAAGAAATTGTACTGGTGCATCCAGGCGTCCTGACCTGTGAGACTGCAGCCCAGCCATATTGTAGTCAACATGGGCATTTCGGAGTGGTCCTCCTGTTGCCATATTCTTCTTATGAGGCTCCAAGTGAATAGCATTCTTTAAGAACTCACCCAAGTATCTGGAGCTACGGGGAACACTAAAGTGAGAAGGGGAAAGTATGGGGTAGCCAGCAGGAGGAGATTGTCCAGGAGAAATGCAAGGTGAACGCAGGCCATGAGCACCTCCACTAACCCCCTTCTCTTGAGAATTCTGTCTGTCAACTGAATGTCGACGAGGTGGATCATACACCAATCCTTTTTGAGGTTTGGATGTAGCTCTGCACTTCTTTACTTCATCAGAGGACTCTGACATGGATCTACCAGTGGATTTCTCAGGGCCCGATTTCTTCTTCTTATCATCGTGCATTCGTTTCACCTGGTACCAATCTGTATCTTTTTTTAAGTGGCCCTGCCCACATCGACATGAGCAAAATCGAAAAGCAAGGTCATAACCTTTCTTAGTCCACATATTCTGACGGCATTGTTTTTCATTCCAGCTGCGGGCTCTGCCAATACAGTTAAATTGGACAAGAATACTGCTTTCCCATTCGTAGAAACACTGCAGATGCATCCAGGTGCTGTTAGGACAGTGCTCATTGTTACAGATGACCTTTTGGTAGTCATCCTTATCTAGTTCAACAGGTCTACCTAGGCTGCAGATAAGTGGAGTTGCACATGCTGCATCTGTAAAGAGAGAAGAAAACTGAATAAAATAAACAGATTGCAAACAGAAATAATATAGAAGAGAAAACCGATACAAAGGCTGAATAAAGAAACCATCCCCAGTTTATTTCAGATATTCAAAGTCTTCCCCTAGTCACATTCTGTAACTTGTCATATTCTTAAAGGCAAATACGTCTTGATGTTCTATATTCACCATATTTAGAATGCCAACTGGCCATGCTACACAATCAGGTTTATTTTTTGTTGTGTCAATTAAGACAAATTCAAAATGATTTTTAAATCTTTAAAAAAAGGTTTTTAAAAAACCTGTCAAACTGACAATATGGAAGACTGAGAATTTTCCCAACTTTGCTATTTTGTCCTAAAATTTGGAATTCATTGTGAATTTACTTGACTAAATTTCTGTCCATTAACACATTGGTGAATAACCACTTATTTAAACAGACAATACCCACAACATTATAGATTTAAGAATTGTATTTTTTTTCCCTTTTTTATAGTGATGTGGAAATTTTGTATAAAAGTTTATTTTTCTTCAAAAACATGCTAGAGAGTGGGAAACATGTGCTAGTTGCACATTATTATGTAATTAGAAGAAGGTAATTGGCCTTAATCTCTTACATTTGTGATCCCCAGAATCCTTCCACTATTTCACTACAGAAGTTAATCAGGATCATCAATAAAACATGCACCCCCAACACTCTTACTAGACTGAATAAATGCCAGAAACTGTTCTGTTATGATTAATTAACATTCAGCATACACGCTGTAGAACACCAATATAATAGACAGTGTTGTGGTGTTTTTCCTTTAGATAAGTAGACCAAAAAAATGAAAACATTACAATTACATAATCAAATTTTATTTGTAAAATGTAACTTTTTGCATCTTTATTTTATATTCATCTTTATCTACTTTATTACACATCGAAATTTACAATATTATCAAATAAATATTACTGTTCTCAATAACTAGTATAGTTACAAATAACATTTACAAAGACCTGTTACTCTCATACAACAATGCATTCTGCCACAGGTGGGGTCACTCCAGAGGGTTAAACACCTTTTTGCGTCTTTTTAAAGCATTTCTCAGGTAAGTATATGGTAATAAATTGTCATAAGCCTCTACAACTTTCTATCTTATTTGCAAACCATGTCACTGTCAGGATTTGATGGTGAATTTATCTTTACTATAATATCCCATGACCTATGTAAGGCTATTGGAAGGTGAATTAAATACTCCACTAAGAAGATAACTCATTCACTGCTGGCCAAATCCTTCCAAGCAGTTGAGCTTCTTTGAAAGCTAATCACTCTGAGCAAGTCCAGAGTATCCAAATCTCTTCACATCTAAATTGCTTCATACTTCTAATGCCCATAAACAAACTGAATAGAAAAAAGTGCAGACCAAGAAGGTGAGCAGCACGCCTAGACAGGTACCTGCATTTGATCCCCTTGCTCTGGGCGTCAAGCAAAAAAACACCCCGAAAGAGGTCTAAAGCCAGGGATAGGGACACCAAACTGTGGTTCTCTGCTTACTATCTGGTTCAGAGAAAGTAGAAATACAGTTGCAGGTTGCTGGACTTATACTCTACACAGTACAGTTCCTCAGGGCTTGTGCACCAGTGTTCGTGATTATTATTATTATTGCCATTTATATAGAGTCAACAGATTTCGTAGGGCATTATGATGAGAGGGGGGATTAACATAATTACAAGAAAACCTACAGAAACGATAGGTTGAAGAGGACCCTGCTCAAACGTGCTTACAGTCTATAAGAGGTGGAGTATAAAAAACATTAGGACAGGAAATATCAATCAAATAAGGTGGGAGAGAAGCAGAACTGGAGGAGAGAGTAGAGGGCTGCCCTTTAGGAGAGAGCAAGAGACAGGTATGTGAGAAAGAGGTTAGTGTGGGAGGCCATAAGCTTTTCTAAAGAGATGGGTTTTAAGGCACTTAACAGAAAGTCTGATGGCAATAGGCAGGCTATTCCATAGGAAGGGAACTGCCCGCGATTAGTCCTGCAAGTGTGAGTTGGCGTAAGGTCACGGGCAGAGCGGAGAACCTATGGATCTTTGAAGACATATAAGAGGGGCTAGAATTGTTCAGTGCTTTATAGGTATGGGTTAGCACTTTGAATTGACTCCTATAGGATACAGGAAGCCAATGTAAGGACTGACAGATGGGTGAGGTGTGAGATGACCGACTAGAGAGGAAAATCAGTTTGGCGGCAGCATTCATTACAGATTGTAGTTACAATAATCCATGCAGGAAATTACTAGAGCATGGACCAGCTCCTTGGTAGCATCTTGTGTAAGAAAGGGGCAGATGCGGGCTATGTTTTTAAGAGGGAATCTACAGGATTTGGCAACATACTGGATGTGAGACCAGAGTCAAGTATGACACCAAGACATGTTGCACAAGATGCTGCATGCACTGTAAAGAAAGCCAAAGGGGAGCTGTGCTTAGAAAGTATTTAAGCTATTTTCTGCTGAACACTTCTACACACTGTTGGACCCCAGGGATGAGGTACCTTATAAGAGATTACCATAGAAGTCATAAATAATCTGGTATAGTGATGAAAAGTTATTTAAGGAGAGGAAGTGGCATAAGGAGGGGTAGGTTTCTTGGGTTACAACAAAGACAAGAAGGAAAGGAAGTGACAAAATTAAAAAAGGTTAGGGAGGAGGAAATAGACTAGGCATTCATAAACACTGATACGCCACACATTAGCACACATATACAGATCATCTACACTAAAACTCTACAATTGCATCTGCATACACCAATACTCCTAAAATATAAATCCCTATATTAACACTACAGGGCCTAGCACTGCTACACCCCTACATTCCCATTTAGGGGAAGGCAAAGACAGATTTCCCATAAGCGCCACTTAGAGCCCAAATTCAGATAGGTGCCCAGGATATATAAGGGGTTTCTTTGAGTCAGCATTGGGGGAAAAAAAATCTCCCTGCTTGAGAAAGCTTTGTGGTCCGGTCCTCTTTTGGATGCAGACCAGTTTAAGAGCTCCCTCCTAATTTCCTGGTGATTCTCAATGAGTCATTGACAGAAAGTCAGAACTGTGAGTTATCTGTTAGACAGATCACAATGTTCCCTCACTTGACCACCAGAAAAAGAAAAGCAGAACACCACAACTCTCCTCTCCACACAAAATTCAGCCAACACACACACAATGTGCCACCACTCGTCACAGGCACACTCCACCTCACAGAGCCCTGGGCTTTAGGATTGAAACCAATCTGGCATCCTGCCGAGGTCCCTGGCAAACATTAATCCGGCTAAGGGGAAGAATGTATAAGAGCAAGTAATAAATGCATGGTCTGGTATTAGGACTAGTGGCAGTGGCAATAGGGCACATGACGCAGAGATAAAACGCACATTGGTGTGCATAGTGCTTGTATGTATCACAGAGCTCCAGTGATTAAAACAAAAGGCACATGACAATCTTATGTTTCCCCCCTTTCTGGGGTTCTGTGATACAATAAGTGAATTTTACTGCTGTGGAACTCTGTTATGCACTAATATGCAATGAATATTACATTGCAGAGCTCCACTGCAATAAAGAAAATATGCCATATTATACTTGCTTTGTTTTGTCTACCTACTCGAAAATAAACCACCAATTCCCCTCCACATGGTTCAGTTATCGTTGCATCAACTACTACCCCCTGTTGTATTATGTCACATTTTAAATTATGAAATTGGATTTTTATTTACACTGATTTATACACCATGTTTCTTCTTGATAGAAGCTGGTAGCTATATGATTTTCTTTGCAAAAGCAGACCAAAATGCTTGTTACCAAGATGGGAAGCCTGCCCAGTTTGATTTTACTTATTCAGGGTTATTCACTAAAGTGAAAATTGTCGGTTACTCAAAGTACAATCGAAGTGAATTTCAAATTTAATGCCACAATAGCCATACTAGAAGCATAGCGGACTTTAAGAACCTTTCCAGTTCAGCTATTTTAGACTTAAGGGGCACTATAGTCATCAGAACTACAGCTTATTGTATTTGTTCTGGTAAGTATAAATATTCCCTACGGTCTTTTCAGAGAAAATTGGTGTTTACATTACAGCCTAGGGATACCTTCAGTGGCCACTCCTACTAGAGGTGCTTCCTGGGGCAGTGCTGCACCAATCAGCCAAGGCTGTGTTTGACATGTGCTGGCTCTGCCCGTGATCTGCATCCATGACAGCCTCAGCCATTCCTATGGGAAAGCACTGTGATTGGCTCAGAGAATCATTTCTGATGACATCAGCCAGGCAGGCAGATGAGAGGCAGAGCCAGCAGCTGCGACTTGAAAAGTAAGATTTTATTATAGTTAGGGGGGGCAAAGGGGGCCAGATGGTGGTTTTAAAACTATAGGATCAGGAATACATGTTTGTGTTCGTGACCCTATAATGTTCATTAAAATGTGAAAGCAAGAAACCGATAAATATATAAAAAAAATTCCCCCATATTGGGGGGAGGAATCAGCAGCTGGATTAATATTCCCCATTCCAAAGTTCAGGGAATGATGGAATTTGGGGGAGGAGGGAAGGTTGTAAAGTACTAATTTCATTACATGTAGAAAGCTAGTAGTTCCCTGCATAAAACTAGATAAACAAAAAAAAACAATTAATGAATTTCACAATCTTATATTTCTGACATATATACAAATTTCCCAAAACTGGGAAAAATGTGCATTCATCTGACAAAAAAAAAAAAAAAAGGAAACAAAGAAACCTCCCCAATTGTTATATAATTACCAAGAAACAGAATACTTTACTGGCAATCTTAACTCCTTAAGGACAGCGGGCGTGCTATGCCGTCCTTGGGGACCCAGCTCTAAACGCCGGTGGGGAGACTCACCAGGCATCCCAGGGAGTCCCCCTGCTGCCGTTCCGGCCCTTCTGGGCCATGTAATCGCGAGGTCCTTGCGAGGACCTCACAATGACATGGACGGCATAGGCGTCCACAGCAGTGCCAGTGCCTGGAATGACAGGTATTCCCCCTGCTGCCTAAAAAAAGTTGAAAATAAAGTTTAAAAACAGTTTAAAATAAAATTATATATATCTCAAAATACACATAGAATTATATTGAATATGTATAATTATATATATTGGTATATAATATAAAATAAATATGTAGATATGATAAAAAAAAAAATTAAAAAATGTGTGTAGTTTCGTTCTATTTTGATAAAATATATGTTGATATCAAAATAAACGTAGAACGAAATATATATATCTATATACATTAGTATATATAACTACATATACCTATATATAAATAAAAATGATTAAACAAAATGTATATATTAATATATATAAATTATACGTATATATTTAAATTTTTTACATAATTAGGTCATTTTATTCATTACAATTTGCGGGACCTGCCTGACAACCCAGGACGAAAGTCTAGGGAATTTAATTTGCTAGCACTAACCCTGTAACTTTCCAAGACACCATAAAACCTGTACATGGGGGTACAGTTTTACTCGGAAGACTTCACTTAATACAAATATTAGTGTTTCAAAACAGTAAAATGTATTACCACAATGATATAGTCAGTGAAAGTGACATTTTTCACAAACAAATGGCACTTACACGGATGATATAATTGTTTTGATACGTTCTACTGTTTTGAAACATCTATTTGTGTTCAGCGAAGTCTCCTGAGTATAACAGTACCCCTCATGTACAGGTTTTATTGTGTTTTCAAAAGTTAGAGAGTCAAATATAAGGGTTGCATTTCCGTTTTTTCACATTGAAATTCGCCAGATTGGTTACTGTAACGGAACACCTGGCACCCCGACTGGGAACCTCCGTTGAAGGACGCTTCCTATCTAATGCCGAGGACCATAAGCACTGCACTGGACACCACAACCACCGTAGCTTAACTGGAGTCTCGCTGTCTTCCTTCCACCCTGGATCAACCTCTGTCCTCAAGGACCATTTAGGAAAGACCTCTCCTCCAGGAGAGTGTAGCAGGAACAGCTCTTAAAAGAGCTAAGTGATTAGAGCTCAGGGGAGTATACAAAGTATAGCAATCCCCAGTGTGAATATAGCAGTTCCCTACAATAATGAGACGAGACTACGAATTGAGGGTTAAGCAGGAACAGAACAGAATGAACTGAGGTTTTATTGCTTCTTATATACAAGTTTTCCCACAAGGTTACCACCCACGTGGACCTTGTTGGGCACTGAAAACACAAACTCAACAACCAATCCTTTACAGTTACACAGCTAAACACTCCCATTCATTACAGTAAATTCCTCCCCTCTGCTTGGGAGATAATAGAGTTAGTTGCTGTATCAACTCAATTATCTCCAAGTAAAAAATATACTTTTTACACAATTTTTATTACTTCAAAATTATACATTCAATTCACATAAAACTTACATTTTCAGAACAATCATAATTATGGGAACAACATGTGAAAAAATCATCCGAATCAGTTCAGTGGTTCGGGAAATAGCTGGAAGTCACATTTGACTGACCGCAAGCATAGCTTTCATGCCTAAAACAGTTCCACAGATTTGGGCTGTGCGGCCCTTCTATCTTCTTCTTCCAAACGGGTACAAATTGCACGAACAAATCCGTTCATGCATACTGTCATTGCAAGTGTCTCGTTTGTGAGTTTGTTTCCTTAGACTAGCGCTCCGTTCGTATGGATTTAGCCGAACGCGTGGAAGGTAGAAGTCCCAGCGGTGTTCGTGGAAATAGTAGCCGAAAATAGTTCCAGGTGTTCGACGACCAAACACTGCTGAGTGCGTTCGGCTAAACAAAATGGTCACCGACACGTGTTCGTTCATACGAATGCCGGCCACCCAACTGTTCGTCAATTAAGCTGCGGTTAACCTGCGCTCCTGGAATGTCAACGAGCAGCACACTCCACTTGCGGGTGGGTTCGTCAGTTTGTTCGGTAAACGCACACCATTAACACAATCCATTCAGCAAGCCCTATTCACTGATCCATTACAGGAAAAAACACACGAACAACAGTTTTTCCCCCAGTCCTGTACAGAGTTTAATGCAGGGGCTATTGTCACAAGGCAAAAGGCTAGCCGTTAGTCCTCTCCAAGAACAAGTGGCTAATGGCAATTCGTCACAGTTACGTTGCCTTTGAGACTGTACGGCAGCCCAGGAATGAGAATTACCCCCATGATGGCATACCATTTGCAAAAGTAAACAACCCAAGGTATTGGAAATTGGTATGTCCAGTCTTTTTCAGTAGCCACTTGGTCACAAACACTGGCCAAAATTGGCATTCAAATTAGTTTTTTGCATTTTTCACACACAAACAAATATTACCCCTAATTTTGGCCAGTGTTTGTGACCAAGTGGCTACTAAAAAAGACTGGACATACTCAGTTTGCAATACCTTGAGTTGTCTACTTTTGCAAATGGTATGCCATCATGGGGATAATTCTCATTCCTGGACTACCATACGGTCTCATAGGCAACAACCAATCTGGCAAATTTCTATGTGAAGAAAAACCTGAAAATGCAACATGGTAGATTTGACCCTGTAACTTCTCAAAACACTATAAAACCCTGTATGTAGGGGGTACTGTTATACACGTGAGACTTTGCTGAATACAAATGTGTATTTTATTGCAGTAAAAACAAACCGTATGAGGACATTCACAGTTAAAATGTCATGTAGAACTAAAAGAAACTCTTATTTTCTCCCATTTTTTTTTAGATTTTCTTCATATTAAAATTATGTTTCATAGCTAAATATTTGATGTTAAAAGAAAACCCTGTTTCCCCTGAATAAAATGATATACAATAAGTGTGGGTGCACTTAATATGAAAGAGGTGAATTACAGTTTAACAGACAATCAAATTCCAGGTTTTGGTTACGTTTTGTTTTGATCACAACGTATACATTTGACTCAGTCCTTAAGGGGTTAAAAAGGTTAGCAGACTACTGATGCTTATGAAGCAGTGTTACTACATATATATTTACATACACAAGTGTAATGTCAGTTTTCTTTTACAGTGTAAAGACTAATGGCCATGCACTAGCACTCCTGAGCAGAAGAGGGTTATGGGCACTATTATGCTAGGCACATGCCCCAACATTGTTCATTTATGCGCTCACCTAGTGTATAAGCATAAAACCCCCATCTCATTATTTATCTCTTCCAACACTCCTGTGTCAACTTTGTGGTGCCAGAACTCAAATATCTGTGCATACTGCCATAATTTGCAAGAACTTGTGAATAAAATGTGCACTGATGCAGTACTTTAATTTGTGGCTTATACACGTTAAATAAATAAATAAACAAATAAAGGGCCCTTATTACGACTTCCCAATTTGTTCTCCAGCTTGGAGTACGAGGGAGCGTACCAGTTTTTGTCAAAACTTGTTTACCAAAAAAAAAATAAACAACCCAAAACGTATGGATTTCACCATGGTTTTTGCAACTGATTCTAGTGTTTGGAAAGTCCCTTTAATAGTTACGCAACAACAGCAATAAAACCAATTTACAAGTTGACTTCTTAGAACTTATAAACGTCGGCTGAGTTACTTGCTCATAGGCTTTAATTGTGAAAGACAGATTAGACACAATAGATTTAAAATTTTAGAATTTAAGTGAAACATAACCATTTCCTCCATTATTTTGCAGTTCCGATCCAGACAATACACACGTGTGAAGAGTAAAAACTATCAAGACTTACATTATAAGTCTAGACAATTTTTTCCCCAGATTTAAAACACACAACTGTTTTTATAAATTAAATAATCTAAATCCCATTATAATCTAAGCAAATTTTTCCTTATTTGCTTAACAACATTGGCAATCAGTAACCATCAGTAATAAAGAATTTTTTTTTTTTTATGCAATCGTTTTTTATTGTGGACACATTTTTAGTAAATTCATTTACTAATGGTTTTACAGAAAACCATGGGAGACATTTATTAATGTAGTTAAATATTTAATTCATAGTAAACTGGAAAAGCAATTGGCAAAGTCATAGCCAATCGAGTGGAAATAAATAAAATTCTCTTACTGAAATTACTGCTTTTTTTTTTATATAAACATCATCATAGTCCACTGTTTATTACTACAATACTAAATACCGCATATTGAAGAGTAAAGTATACATTTTATTATAAGTAACAAAACTACAAACCAGTGGTGAAACACCAGGTGTCACAAAGATCATATGTGCAACTTGGTCCTGGGTGAACGGCGGCCCAGGTAATTCCTGCCTGAAAGGTGCTGTAAAAATACACCAATCAGCAGTTGAGGAGCAGTGTGACCTCAGAATATGTCTCAGGGAATAGTCAGTAACAGCTCCCTGGTGGCTCACATATGTTTCTCAGACATGTTTGAGAGTGACAACTTCCCCATTATTGGGACAGACCTCTACCATTATTAAACAGACCATGGGACAACAAATAGGCAACAATGGAGTGGAAAGAGCATCCCGTGTCAGTCTATTCTTTATGTCAATCACAGGCTCAATGTCAACGCGCTTGTTCTTTATGTATCCGAAACCTTTCCTTGTGTGCAAACCCCTATCCAGGTTTGTGTATGTATACTTTGCCCAGGTGTTTGATCAGTCATGTTATACATGTTAACTCCTGCCTTGCAGTGATATCGTGTTCTGTAGGAATATTTAACCACTTCCATGTGTGTTAGCCCCCTGACTTGCTGTGCGAGCACAATTTCTTTATGCAGAATAACCCTTGTGGTCTCTGTGGTGATCAGTCCTTTGTATATTAATCCTGTGTGAGAATGTATTTTTATGTATATAGCTTTGTGCTTGTGTCTTAACAATTCTACAGCTTCCTCATCTCTGTGATGTAAAGTATCTCCAAACAAATAAACATAGTGCAGGTGATTATGCTAGCTTAAGAGAAAAAAAAAAAAAATGAAGAAACCCACAAGATACTAAAGCACACTCAACGTATGCACTATCCAATGTACAATTTATAAAAAAATAAATAAAAAAAAATAAAAAAAAAAGCAAGAATGTATATACACGTTTATTTCAAATGACAACCAATGAAGAAGGAGGAAAAAAAAAAAAGAAAGGAAGAAAACACTTTTCATATTAAAAATTGGCTGTGGTACTTGGACCAGTGCACATAGGGTGGAATCCCCTCTGTTATCTGGTGCAGGAAAATGCTGTTCGATCCTTTGCCATACAACATGGTATAAAGGTCTTCTCCTTGGCCCCGATAAGCCGTAAACCCACATAGAAAATGAACGGTGGAAGTCTTCCGAAAGTCACTAGGAAAAATAAATATTAGCTTAAGTTATGAAGTACGAACTTGAGCTTATTAACAGAGCCAATTTACTCATTACACACTATGAGTGTAAATTTGTGATACTTGGGACTGCTTACAGGGCACAGAGCTAATTATTCAAAAAACTAGTGCTGGGTATAAGATGAGAGTTTGATATCAGTGTGGTGGTCTTCCAGCTCTAGATACCCAGAGCTGCTGCAGCTTCTCTGTGCAAACAGAAGTATCTGCAATAACATTGTTGTTAGTAAATTTTATCTTCTTCATTATAGGGACACCAAATGCACAATAAGCACTTCAACTAAGTTGTTGTGGTGCCAGAAAGATGTCCCTGCAGGCAGTAATTTGATAACTTTGTCAAACGGAAAGAGCTGCCTGCCATCCCTGTCAAAGAACTGAGAATTAGACTTCTAAACTTGAATATCAACGCATACCAATTAGTTGGTATGCAGGACCGATGTGAAAAGGACTTGCAAGTTTGTTCTAGAAGCTAGTGCTTGCAAGTCCAAATCATTCCTCTGTCTCACTGATAACTGGTGCTGCAGACAGCTGGACACTGTCTGCAGCAATCATCCAGTAACAGGAGTAGGATTAGGTCTGCAATTCCTAGCTAAAAAACACTGTTTTTAAACGCTCCTACCACTATAATCATTTCACTAAGCCAAAGTAATTTTGGTGCCAGGAGTGTTCCTTTTAAAAGGGCATACAGTTTACCTTTCAAACTTTACAAATTACACATTTAAACTTACTTTTTCTGCAATCCAGAAGAAGAATGTAAATACCTTCTCCTGGTAACCAAAGCCATAACAATAAACCTGGTTGATATAGGTTGACTCAAGATGCTCCTTCAGATAATCAAGCTCATACCCATAAGTCTTCAAACATTATGTCCTTAATCTTCTGAATTTGCCGCAGATGCCTTCATTATCAGTGGGCACTGGTATAAAATTGCCACACTTGCACCACTTACTATGGTTCACTATTGAATACCAACTTGAAGATCTCTGTAAGTTTATGTGATGTAGGGGAAGCGGTGGACCACATGGCAGGGTAAAAGTTCATTCTGCAGGAATGGATCTACCTCCTCATAAGGTGGAGAGCAGCAACCTACAAAAAAGTAGAGAACAAATATAGAAGCTAAAGAGTGAGGCTGCTATTACATACATGTTATAGTGCACAGTCATGTAGTGTGAATACGTGCCACAAAAAGCTTGCAAAGACACAGAGCAGCACATGGCTCATTAGGTAATGACGCACAATCCAATAGCCATTACACTGCCCAGTAAGTAGTAGAAAGCCACACACACACATCACAAGCTAAAGAGAGATGTGCTGCTCCATGCTCTGGAGAGGCTAAGGCTGCTGTCATTCACAATGGATGTGATCCCTTTATGCATATATACATGTGCAAGATCCACAGTCGTATTTCAGGTAAGCACACCATATTTCCTTACAAAAACATTGTATACAATGGTGTGTAATGCGTCTATGAAAAGTGTGCAAATTATACATATTCTTTTCAAAGTATGGAACAGGAAGTCAAAAGTGCTGTTCTGTGTTACTTTGAAAACCACTGTAATGACAAAGTAACACTTCCCAAGCTTTGCTCAAAAGTTTTACACATTATTTTCCCTAATATATATCAAACTGCTGGGCAGTACATGAAAAGTGCTACCTTTGGAAGGTCAACATTTTTCAAGCTCTGTCCAGCAGTAAAATTGTCAAGAGTGCAAAAAGCACTTCCCTGCCAATATAGTGGTTTTAAAAGTAACAAAGGACATTACCAACAGTTTGCCAAATTGTGTTTTCACAGTGTGTGAAAAGTGTTGCTGAAAAAAAAAAATTTAAAAGTGAGGGTGGGATTCTCATGTGAAGCCCAGCAGTGTTATAACACATTCTGAGAGGATGAAAGAGTTAAGGGCAACTTGCCTTTCCTCTAAACACTCCCCCCAGGTATACCCACAATGGTAAAAGATAACTCATGGGGCACATATGAAATAAGAGTTAAAAACTTAAACATATCTTTATTAAATTCTATTTAAAAATGTCCATAGGGACAAAGCGTGGTGAAATACGTGGAACACACAGTGCTAGTGAATTTAAAAAGGAAAGGCTTGATGCAGCCTAGATAGTCTCCCGTATATATTTATATGTAGTTGACTGTAAGTCGCTACTAATAAAATTGATCTATGTGAACAACATAATGGTCAGATATCTACTTGGGGGATTGAAGTCAGAAGCTAGTAACTAGCAATATATTTTCGATTAGTTAAATAGTCTCTCTTTCTAGGTACATAATGGGAGCTCAAGCTATTATAACACACATATATATATATACATATATATATATATATATATATATATATATATATATATATATATATATATATATATATATATATATATATATATATATATATACACACACACACACAGAACTCTATCTTCCCTATATATATTAAACTTGTGTTAAATAGATAGAACTATATTAACACAATCTCTCTCATGCCATGTTGTTATCAGTAGTGGTATAAAGTTTAGCTAAATCAAATAAATGAAAGCAGAAAATAATAATAGTAAGCTAAACTTGCTTTCTACTAATTAATAACAGGTAGTGCTATTACTAGTAAGCTAAACTTGTTTTCTACTAGTTGATAACAGGTAGTGCTATTTTAGAGGACAGATTTATTAGGGTAAGTGCAGCTAACATACATGTGAGGACAGAATACGGCCATAGGCAATATAATAGTGCTTAACATATTCCTCAGAGTTACTGCATACAGTAGCCCAATAAGTAAACCTAAAAAGCCTCAAATTATAATAGACACACCTTACAGATCTAGCCTCTTTGAAATTACATTTAAAAGATTAAGGAGATATGATAGGCAGGCTGAAAACATAACACTGCCTTCAATTTTACCAGACTTATGATAGTCCTAAATAGGACTGAAAGTCTTAGTCTGTCTGTCTAGACCAGTGGTAGTCAACTTTTTTTTCCTACCGCCCACTAGTGCATCTTTCTTGATGGGAAAAAATGTCCTTACCGCCCACCAGTTTTCGCACAAGTGCGGAATATTTTTTAGAAAGGAGGGCTTTAAAAAAAAAAAAAAATACGTACATTTATCTTTCTTTTTATTTCTACTTAATGCATGTTTATAATGTTTTTAACTTTATAAAGTTTAATGAGAAAACGTAAATTGAAATTACCTTTACTAGTGATGAGATCCTTGAGGTTGATGCTGCGAGACTAAATATTTGATATCTGGTTCGATTTTCGTAAGGAACAAACTAAGGTCTCCTCTTTCAGTGATATTCAGACGACTTCTCTGTTTGCGCATAATATATGATTTCTCATCTGTGCTTCAGCTCCCCTCCTTTCCCTCCTCAATTTCCCTCCCCACCTTTTTTTCTTCCTCCTTTTTTCTATTTTGTAACCTTACTTATAGCAATGCCCAGTAGGAAGGTTGAGCTAGGTAGCCAACTTACTATAGCCCACTATAACAGACAGGCACACATACAAGACACACATAAGACATACATACAAATATACACACAGACACACAAAGACAAGACACACACAACACATACAAAGACAAGACACACATACACACAAGACATACATACAGAGACACACACATTATATTTAAGTCACCCTCCTGTTTCCTACCTTTAAGGTGCAGGAGGGTGACTTTCCCTGGGGTCCTGTGGTGGCTCAGGTGGATGGGAGTCAGAGTTCCCACTCTGACTCCCTGGTCTTCCACCTGCGCGGCTCTCAGTGTTAGCTGGGAGTAGTGACGTGCAGTCACTTCCTCCCAGCTCTGTGATGTAATCACAGGGGGCCCGGTCGCGCTGTTAAAGCGCCCAGCGCTGACTGGGCCCTCTCACAATCCACATCCATCGGGTGGCCCTGACAGCATGGGCCACCCGTTGGACCCCTTGGACGGTGGCCACGGCGGTTTGCCGCCCGGCCCTGCAAATGGTGATGGAGATACCTGGTCGCAGGGGTACCTGCCTGCCCACCCACCCAATCTCTCCAAATGAGGAAATCCCTACCGCCCACCTGGAATCCTGAAACGCCCACTAGTGGCGGTAGGGACCAGGTTGACGACCTATGGTCTAGACAGATAAAAGTTGTTAAAAGGAGGTAGACTGCCCAAATAGATGCTGGAAAAATCATTAGGCACACATTAACTACTTAGATATGCTGGAGAAATATAGCAACCACCCTATCTAAGTACTCATGTGAATACAAATGCCAATAAGTGACAGCTTTCTAATACAAGAGGTTGATCTAGGTAAAGTGACCAAACTTCTATGGCTGATAGATCAGAACCTGAAGCCCAAGTAAGTAGCTAGAATAATCCCCAGGATCTACAGGAGACTAAAAGGCTGCATCAGAAACCTAACAAGAAAGAAAAAACGTCTAAACTCGCTTTGTCCCTATGGACATTTTTAAATAGAATTTAATAAAGATATGTTTAAGTTTTTAACTCTTATTTCATATGTGCCCCATGAGTTATCTTTTACCATTGTGGGTATTCCTGGGGGGAGTGTTTAGAGGAAAGGCAAGTCGCCCTTCACTCTTTCATCCTCTGAGGTAATCTTTTTCGTATTTAAACAATTTAGGGTTTATGACTTATACCCACAAAGTCCGTTTATATGTCGACTTTGGGGTCAAGCTTTGATTGACCCCTAAGGCTTCATTCTTATATTTTTTTTTTTATAACACATTCTGCATTATATATAAAAAATAAATTTTTTTTTAAAAAGCACACTGTTGGACAGAGCATGACAGGCAAACCTATTTGCGAAGTGTTTTAGTACAACAATTTACATCTCATGTCCTAATAGTGTCAAGTGTTTTTTTTGTTTAGTTATCTGCAACAGAGTAAAAGCCATCTTTTTACGGCTTTTGATTTTGCTGAAAACAAATAGAGAAAACTGTAGGGCAACACATGAAAACTAATGAATTACAGCATACATAAACAGTTTAATGGTTATCAAAAATAAATGAAAATGTAATAAAATATTATACTTACTCTTTTTTCAGATTCCACCAGTATCTCGGCAGTACAGGCAAGAAGAGGATGAGTTGAGAGAGTCTGAGAATTGTGTGGTCACTCAACTTTCCACTTGTGAACCCAAACTTTGTTTTGAAGTAACCTTTTCAGAGCTTCTCATTGAGAAGCATTTGATTGGTCGACAGCAGTAAAACACATGCTCTGTCCCTAGTGCTTCTCCACAGGAAAAAGATTGATGACATCACAATAGGTGGATTGGGCTGCTATAAAGAAGCTGTCTTAGCGATGGAATAAAGGTAAAGTAAAGTTTAACAAAAAGATAAAGGGGGGCCCATCAATCTAAACAGATGGTTAGATAGCATGCATTTTTGTTCATAATGTTACTTTAACTGTTATTAAAATCCAGTTTTAAAAAAAATTGCACATTATAGGAATGGCCAACAACCTTTTGGAAGATGTACTCTTGTGAAGTCAATTTTAACTTCTAGTGCAATAAAAAAAAAAGTTTATTATCCAAGACGACAGAGTGCTATTTCATGGAAACATTTCGACAAACTTCTCTGTCGCTATGGATCTCTTACCAGGTGAAACAGCATTGCTTATTTCTTCAATATGAAGGAGTTTCCCATATGTTACATTTTACAGAATTAATTTTCAGCTTGACTATTTTAGCCTGAAATTTTAGATGAATTCCTGGTATAGTGAAAAACATATAGGTTTGTTTGTTCCATCCGATTACTGTCTCTCAAAGAATGAGAGAAAGAGGCAAGCTGGAGAGAGACAGACAGATCCAAAGAACATACATAAGCTGGAAAATAGTACTGAGATAAAGGTAAACTGAACAAGACTGACACGTTTATGATGTAGGTCCTACATTGTAGGAGAAAAACCATAAATGAGATGAGGAAAGTTTCACTTTGTGTTTAGATGTCAAAGCATGAAACAAAGTACTTAAATCTCTTTGCAGAGTAAATGTGCCTTAAAGGGTTCCTCAAAGCTTCAAAACCACTACAGCTGCAGAAGCTGAAAGTCGATCTCGCAACACAATCATTGGATGAGAGATTCCCCTTACCACTTAATTAATGCAATTCTGATCCTCTGAATATGCACAGAATTGAGATTAGCAGTTCCGGGCTCAATAATGCTGCCCCAATAACGCTGCCAGAGGTGGTTACACATTCGGCAGCAAAACTGTTAAAGGATCACTATAGGGTCAGTAACACAAACATGTATTCCTGACCCTATAGTGCTAAACCCACCATATAGGTGGCTTGCCCCCCCCCTTAGTCCCCCTATAAAACTTTAAAAGTCACCATATTTCCAGCACTGCACAGGTCTGCCGGTGATGGCTTTGTGGCATCATTTAAATGGCCGATTTTTTAGCCAATCCAATGCTTTCCCATAAGGAAAGCATTGGATTGGCTAAACTCGGCACGGGTGCGGGGCCAAATGCCGTTTTGGCCAATCAAGACCTCCTTAAAGAAATGCATCTCTTTGAGGAAAATTCAGCCTCTCCATGCAGAACATGCATGGTATTACACGCCTCAGAACAACTACATTAAGCTGTAGCTGTTCTAGTGACTATAGTGTCCCTTTGAACTTTAAAATGTGCACAATTTCAAACAAAAACGCTACACGTACAGACCCCAGGCACAATGACCACATCAAATGACTAAAGTGGTCATGGTGCTTGTAGTAACCATTTAAGTAAAGCAGCATCTCTAAAATGGAAAGCCATAAATAGCACTGCATACCACAACTTGCAAAATCTACTTCACATTTCTATACAACAGGAACTACTTAATAAAGTTGACAGTTTAAACCCCAATCAAGCAAGTTAGGCAGCAGAAATTTAGCTTCAGGATTAAAAGGGGGAACAGCATTTTCTGTACTTAAATAGCCTTGTCAGTTTTAACAGATCAATATCAGAAATGCATACTGTAGTATATTTAAATAAGCCTATTTTAATATGGAGGGAGAGCGTGTGTGTGTTGGGAAAAAGAAATAACACATATTTGAATTCCATGGTTTTACACATCAGGACATAATCTATTCCTTAGCAGGTCTTAAAATTAGGTAAACACGACCTCAGATGAACAACAAAACATCACATATTACACAGTGTCACAATTTATTCAACAAAAATAAAGCCAAAATGAAGAAACCTGTGTGAAAACCGAAGTACACCTTATGGTTCAATAGCTTGTAGAACACCTTTAGCAGCAATAACTTGACGTATTCGTTTTCTGTATGACTATATCAGTCTCTCACATTGTTGTGGAGGAATTTTGGCCTATTCTTCTTTGCAACGTTGCTTTAGTTCATTGAGGTTTGCAGGCATTTGTTTATGCACAGCTCTCATTTCATTTGGGTTGAGGTCAGGACTTTGACTGGGCCATTGCAAAACCTTGATTCTTTTCCTTTTCAGCCATTTTGTTGTAGATTTGCTGGTGTGCTTGGGATCATTGTCCTGTTCAATTACCCAATTTTGGCCAAGGTTTAGCAGTCAGACAGATGGCCTCACATTCAACTCTAAAATACTTTGGTATACAGAGGAGTTCATAGCTGACTCGATGACTGGAAGGTCACCTAGTTCTGTGGCTCCAAACATGCCTAAATCACCATGCTTGATAGTTGGTATGAAGTGTTTCTGCTGATAGGTTTTTTGCCACATGTGGCACTGTGAATTATGGCCAAACATCTCCACTTCGGTCTGGCCTGTCCAAAGGACATTGTTCCAGAAGTCTTGCGGTTTGTTCAGATGCAACTTTGCAAACCTAAGCCGTACTGCCATGTTCTTTTTAGAAGAGGCTTTCTTCTGGCAACCATTCCAAACAAACTATACTTGTTCAGTCTTTTTCTAATTGTACTGTCATGAACTTTAACACTTAACATGCTTATTGAGGCATGTAGAGTCTAAGATGCAACTCTTGGATTTTTTGCAATTTCTCTGGGCACTGCATGGTTTGACCTTGGGTTGAATTTGCAGGGACATCCACTCCTGGGAAGATTGGCAACAGTCTTGAATGTTTTCCACTTTTGAATAATCTTTCTCACTATAGAAAGATGGACTTTAAATTGTTTGGAAATGGCCTTATAAATTTTTCCCACTTTGATGAGCAGCAACAATTGCTTCTCTAACACCATTTCTGATGTCTTTCCTCCCTGGCTTTGTGTTAACAGACCTGAAATGATCCAGACCAGTAAATTGCTAAAACGTCGGCTTTTGTAGAGGTGGTCATATTTGATGATTATCAATTAATTAAGGGCATTTGATTATCAGCAGATGTCTGCTACTTAGCCTCTTAATTCTTATGGAAGCAGTAAGGGTGTACTTACAGGGAGTGCAGAATTATTAGGCAAATGAGTATTTTGACCACATCACCCTCTTTATGCATGTTGTCTTACTCCAAGCTGTATAGGCTCGAAAGCCTACTACCAATTAAGCATATTAGGTGATGTGCATCTCTGTAATGAGAAGGGGTGTGGTCTAATGACATCAACACCCTATATCAGGTGTGCATAATTATTAGGCAACTTCCTTTCCTTTGGCAAAATGGGTCAAAAGAAGGACTTGACAGGCTCAGAAAAGTCAAAAATAGTGAGATATCTTGCAGAGGGATGCAGCACTCTTAAAATTGCAAAGCTTCTGAAGCGTGATCATCGAACAATCAAGCGTTTCATTCAAAATAGTCAACAGGGTCGCAAGAAGCGTGTGGAAAAACCAAGGCGCAAAATAACTGCCCATGAACTGAGAAAAGTCAAGCGTGCAGCTGCCACGATGCCACTTGCCACCAGTTTGGCCATATTTCAGAGCTGCAACATCACTGGAGTGCCCAAAAGCACAAGGTGTGCAATACTCAGAGACATGGCCAAGGTAAGAAAGGCTGAAAGACGACCACCACTGAATAAGACACACAAGCTGAAACGTCAAGACTGGGCCAAGAAATATCTCAAGACTGATTTTTCTAAGGTTTTATGGACTGATGAAATGAGAGTGAGTCTTGATGGGCCAGATGGATGGGCCCGTGGCTGGATTGGTAAAGGGCAGAGAGCTCCAGTCCGACTCAGACGCCAGCAAGGTGGAGGTGGAATACTGGTTTGGGCTGGTATCATCAAAGATGAGCTTGTGGGGCCTTTTCGGGTTGAGGATGGAGTCAAGCTCAACTGCCAGTTCCTGGAAGACACCTTCTTCAAGCAGTGGTACAGGAAGAAGTCTGCATCCTTCAAGAAAAACATGATTTTCATGCAGGACAATGCTCCATCACACGCGTCCAAGTACTCCACAGCGTGGCTGGCAAGAAAGGGTATAAAAGAAGAAAATCTAATGACATGGCCTCCTTGTTCACCTGATCTGAACCCCATTGAGAACCTGTGGTCCATCATCAAATGTGAGATTTACAAGGAGGGAAAACAGTACACCTCTCTGAACAGTGTCTGGGAGGCTGTGGTTGCTGCTGCACGCAATGTTGATGGTGAACAGATTAAAACACTGACAGAATCCATGGATGGAAGGCTTTTGAGTGTCCTTGCAAAGAAAGGTGGCTATATTGGTCACTGATTTGTTTTGTTTTTGAATGTCAGAAATGTATATTTGTGAATGTTGAGATGTTATATTGGTTTCACTGGTAATAATAAATAATTGAAATGGGTATATATTTGTTTTTTGTTAAGTTGCCTAATAATTATGCACAGTAATAGTCACCTGCACACACAGATATCCCCCTAACATAGCTAAAACTAAAAACAAACTAAAAACTACTTCCAAAAATATTCAGCTTTGATATTAATGAGTTTTTTGGGTTCATTGAGAACATGGTTGTTGTTCAATAATAAAATTAATCCTCAAAAATACAACTTGCCTAATAATTCTGCACTCCCTGTAGTTTTTCACACATGCCTTCTCCATTTGGGCTTTGTTAACTAAATCAGGACACAGTGCAATATGTCATGTGCTGTTGTTCATCAAATATGATATTTACCTAAATGTAAGACCTGCTAAGAAACAGATGATTATTATGTCCGGATATGTAAAACCATAGAATTCAAAGAGGGTATACTTTTTTTTTTCCCAAAACACACTCTCTCCTCTTCTATTTTTACAAAAAATACTTGAAATGATAATTTCATACAGATACACACATACAAAATATATATTTTTAATTTTTTTAATCATATAACAATGGAAAACACAACTCAAACGATGTAAGTTGGGTTTTTCCCCCAGCCCCCTTTTAAATTAAATGACTCCGTAGTTTTCAGGGTTCCAACACTACAATGATCACAGCAAAATTCACAAGATGGTATTATCCAAGAGGTATTTTGAGGCAACCTTATCTACTCTGACTTAAAATTTGCCATTTCATGGTCACTTCTAAAGGTCCACTCTTTAAAGCGGCACTGTCATGCCGAATCCCGTTTTTTTTTTTAACCCCCCCTCCCGCCTCCACTACATCCAATAGACCCACTAGTCACCCCCAAATGCCCCTAAGCCCCCCATATTACCTATTTTTTAATCCTTATTTTCTGCCTCGATCTTGATTCAGGGCGCCGCCATCTTTGTGTGGGTAGATGAAGTCCCTGTGGGACACGTCATCAGCCCACACTAGGCAGACACTGAGATTCCCGCACATGCCCAGTGAAACACCTGGACATGCGAACGGGAATTTCATCCATTCACTCATTCATCAGACAGACGAATGAGTGAATAGAATTATTAGCCGAACAAACAAACACTATGTATCAGTGTATCTGAGTATCAGTGTTTGTTTGTCCGTGCAGGTTATTACAAGGAGGGAGCTACCGGCGTGCAGCTCCCTCCTTGTAATATGTAACTATAGAAGCGGCAGGGAGCAGTGCTCCCCACCACTTCATAAGCCCCCCCAGGTCCCCCTCTCACTCTATGGAGGTCAATATGACCCCCGTAATAGCACAAGGGAGATTAAAATCTCCCAAATGCCCCTACTCGCTATACCGCGAGTAGGGGCATGTCTACTAAACAGTGAGGGGGGGCCTACTGTCCCCCCCCCTTGGCCCCCACCCCTGCGCGGTGGTTGGGGGCCCCAATAAAACAATAAGGGGGGGGGGAAATAAAATAACTAACCTGTAAAAAAAATAAAAAAATAAGGGGAGTTCTTTAGAATTTTCCCACGCTGTGTAAAATGACTCAGAGCACTCTGATTGGCTTAAACCCACCAATCAGTGTTCTAAGCCTAATTGCAGGGCGGGGCAAGGAGCTCAGTATGCGTCGTGCCCTCGAAGTTCCCCCCCTTATTGTTTTACTCTGGCCCCCACCCACCGCGCAGGGGTGGGGGCGGGGGAGGACAGTAGGTCCCCCCCCCTTATTGTTTTATTAGGGCCCCGTGGGGGCCAGGGGGGGAGGACAGTAGGTCCCCCCCCTAATTGTTTTATTAGGGCCCCCACCCACCGCGCAGGGGTGGGGGACAGAAGTTCCCCCCCATATCTTTATTTAGGGCCCCCACCCACCGCTCATTGGTTCGTACCAAGTTGGTATTTATTCTAAAAGCTTTTAGACATGTAGGGCACTTGTTTTCAGGCAGGATAAAAATTATAAATAGCATCCCATTGAAGACCATTTACCAAACTACTTCTGAAAAGTTAGTTCCTTCAATAATGTCCCTTTTAAACTTTTCAAAAATTAAAAAAAATATGGACTTGGACTTCAAATGCAATCTGAAGATATAAGACAAAGAAGGGACTAGTTTGTCTTATAAACAAGACTATTTTGGCAAAATGCCATAAAGGTGGAGTTTGAAGGAGCTACCACTGCTACATTCAGTCATATTGCACATTACACAATGCAACGTATAGGTTTGTGGCATCTCATTAGGAACGCAAAGACCCATAAGTGATAATTCAGATTTTAGTAAATTAAAACTATGGATCAGTACCATTCTTGTACCCATCATTACTGCATCCTATACCAAGGCATCTATAGGTACAGCAATGTAACCTGTAACGAGTTAAACATGCCTGCTAAAGCTGATGTTAAATAGCAAAGAAAGTTACGTAGGTCTCACTATAAATAGCTACTCACTTGTTATCTGGCTTCAGAATACAATTAAACAGAAAAAGAAACTAAGGGGTCTATTTGACAACATTCGACTTGATTCTGCTGAAAACATGTGTCACGTTATTCAATAGTAACCTAAATGAAGCTGCATGAGATTATGTTCCTAGTAAGAATAAAAGGACAACAGAAATTGCTGATAGCTATCTATGGGTTGCATGAAGTATCTATTGTTTAATTCTCAGTCACTATGATATTAGTTTAAATTACCCTGCATGTGAATTAACTTAACCCCTAGTGTTATATGTACAATGCAGCCCAGTGTGCTTAGGCATGCCAGCATTAGTGCCAACTAGAGATGTCGCGAACTGCTCGCCTAACTGTCCGCCGGCGAACAACAGCGTGTTCGCGTTGGGCGAACATATGCAATTTCCGGTCCGCCCCCTATTCGTCATCATTAAGTACACTTTGACCCGGAACCTCACAGTCAGCAGACACTTCCTGGGAGGGAGGGTCTGCTGCTGATTGGCTGGAATGTGTCTGCTGACTGTGAGGTTCCAGGTCAAAGTGTAATCAATGATGACGAATAGGGGGCGGACCGGAAATCGCATATGTTCGCCCAACGCGAACACGCTATTGTTCGCCGGCGGACAGTTCGCGAACAGTTCACGACATCTCTAGTGCCAACACGTGCTTGTACCACATTTCTCTATAGACACCTGAGCACACGTCTGTGCCTGGGGCATCATGGAGAGGTGGATTTGTCTTGAACACATAAATGCAGTAGAGGCAATTGTTTTTGTTTGAATTTACTTACCAGTTTACTGGGATAAGGGAATGAAGAACTGCCATGTCCAGATAAGTAGCAATTCTACTTTAAACATGATATGTCCCATACATTTCAAAATAGCTGAAGCAAAATGATAACCGAACGACACCTGAAAGGCCCTGCTCTAAAAGGTGGGGTGGACAATGTTGGGGGAAAAGTTAGTAAGGGAGGAGTTGTGGTATCGTTTTCAGGTAAGAAGTGTAGATTAAGGACACAGGCTTAAAGGGCACCAGAAAAACGTCACTACATTTAAACTGCTATGGTTGGAGGAGGTCAGGGGCTGGTGTATCTGAATGGGCTTAACCATTAATGAACGGTATACCCCCAAGGTCGTCAAGCTCGCGCCCAATTGCTCTGTCCTCCCATTTCCACTTAATGTCTGAAACTTTTAGTCAGGAAGCATTGGACTGGGCATTGCTGATAGAAAAGGGTAGCTTCCCAACTGAAAAAGGAGAGTTATTTTTTTGCCCCAGGAAGCACCTCTAGCAGCGATATGAGGAGTGGCCACTGGAGGTGTAACTAGTCAGCAATGTAAACCCTACCTTTCCACTGACATTAAAGGGACTCTCCAGTGTCCGTTTTCCTGGCACTGTAGGACCCTGCAGTGCCCCTCTCCCTCCCACCCCCATCCAATGTTGCTGAAGGGGTTAAAACCCCTTCAGTGACTTAGCTGAATCCAGCGCCAATGTCCCTCGGCGCTGGGTCAGGCTCTGTCCACGAATAGCGTGAGGACATCCAGCGTAGTTTAAAACACTTTTTAAAAAACGCGGAAGTCACTCTAGTGACTGTCTGATAAACAGCCACTAGAGGAGGACTTAACCCTGCAAGGTAATTATTGCAGTTTATTACACTTGCAAGGTTAAGGGTGGTGGGAGTTGGCACCCAGACCACTCCAATGGGCAGAAGTCGTCTGGGTGCCTGGAGTGTTCCTTTAAGCTGTAGTTGTTCTGGTGACTATAGTGTCCCTCTAAAGCAGTTTCCAGCTCAGCTGTTTAGACCTTAAATTTGCTATCCACTAGACTAGTGAATTCCCAACAGTTCAAGGTTTAGAGAACAGAAAGCTTTCAACTGAAACAGAAATATCTGTACAACTAAATGCTTTTCAGCACAAATTATACAGTAGAGATGATGCTACAACGACTGATATATGAGGTTTCAGGATGCTGATATATAGTAGTAATAAACACACTTTGAATAAACAAGTTGGAATGGTAGGGAATTGAACAAGAAAAATAGTGAAGGCTGTGAAATTCCCACGTCATTTCTCAATGTAATGCCTAGCTTTCCAATAGACATGGATGTCAGTGTGAACATGTGAATCTGACAGAGTTTAGTGAGATAATAAATAGTGAGGATAAGAGATGGTCTGCGAGCCTGATGTTACTGGCTGGCATGCTGGCTGTGAATGATGGATATTGGGGTCTGTCTGTGTGGATGGTGTCTCCCCCCTGACACTGCGCTGGGAGCTGCACAATGCTTTGTCAGGATATAGTGCAGTCTAACCCTGGCCCCCCGGGTGTTTCCCATGACGCTCAGCCAGCCCCAGGGTGACAGCCATGAGGTGCCAGGGTTAGACGTCACTGCGCGTCCTGTTAGTATTATTATGACGTCAAGCTGTGACTTCAGACCAGCCTGATTGACAGCTCAGTGAGTCCCTCCAGCCGGCCATTGCCGTGTGCCCGGGGCTGTCAGTCAGGTTAACCCGGTCCCGCCCGGATCTTACCGTTCTTGGTGTCTGCAGACGGTGCGGCCGATGCTGCTGGCGGTGCGGCGGCCGATGCTGCACACTGTGCGCTCGCAGTGCTCGTGGCTGCGGCTCCTGCGCAGATCGGTGCGGCCGCCGTCCCTCCTGCAGCTGCCGCCACGGCCCCGTTCTCCTGCTCGTCCCCGCTGCTGTTCGCCCTCTTGTTCTTCCTCCCCTTGCTGCTCTTCACGTTCGGCATGGCGGGCGGGCGGGGGGTGCTCGCTGGGGGCGATCAGGTGCTCGGTCCGGCGGCCTCCATGGTGCCCCGGCCGCGGAGCGGGGAGAGAGCGAACAATGGGCGGCCGAGCTCAGCGCACACAGGGCGGCCCGCGGGCCACTCACCGGGCTATGTGGCCCCTGCAGCCGCGGCCCCTGGGAGCCATGCTAGCGGGGTCCCAGCCGGGGTAGAAGGCGTGTCTCGTTGTTTTGATTCCGCTGAAAGCAGCCGCGGACTCGGTCACTCCCCTCTGTCACTGTATTTTCTTCCCCTGTCTTCAACGTCAGGACCCGGACCGCCCCCTCAGCCCCTCCCCAGTGACGTCACTGTCCCCGCCCACAATGCGACCCCGCTGCTGTCATCAGCACCGCCCCCTCACCGGCAGCCAATAGGAAACCAGAGACCAGAGTGTGCGAGAGCAATGCTTCCAATAGGGAGAGATACAGGGCTGGTAAATACAGTGTGCAAGGATGGTATTGTTATATCTATTGTGTGCCAGGCTGGTATTGTTATAAATACTGTGTGGCAGGATGGTATTGTTATATCTATTGTGTGCCAGGATGGTATTGTTATAAATACTGTGTGCCAGCCTGGTATTGTTATAAATGCTGTGTGGCAGGCTGGTATTGTTATATCTATTGTGTGCCAGCCTGGTATTGTTATAAATACTGTGTGCCAGGATGGTATTGTTATAAATACTGTGTGGCAGGCTGGTATTGTTATATCTATTGTGTGCCAGCCTGGTATTGTTATAAATGCTGTGTGGCAGGCTGGTATTGTTATATCTATTGTGTGCCAGCCTGGTATTGTTATAAATGCTGTGTGGCAGGCTGGTATTGTTATATCTATTGTGTGCCAGGATGGTATTGTTATAAATACTGTGTGGCAGGCTGGTATTGTTATAAATACTGTGTGCCAGGATGGTATTGTTATAAATACTGTGTGGCAGGCTGGTATTGTTATATCTATTGTGTGCCAGCCTGGTATTGTTATAAATGCTGTGTGGCAGGCTGGTATTGTTATATCTATTGTGTGCCAGGCTGGTATTGTTATAAATGCTGTGTGCCAGGCTGGTATTGTTATAAATACTGTGTGCCAGGATGGTATTGTTATATCTATTGTGTGCCAGCCTGGTATTGTTATAAATACTGTGTGGCAGGCTGGTATTGTTATATCTATTGCGTGCCAGCCTGGTATTGTTATAAATGCTGTGTGGCAGGCTGGTATTGTTATATCTATTGTGTGCCAGGCTGGTATTGTTATAAATGCTGTGTGCCAGGATGGTATTGTTATAAATACTGTGTGCCAGGATGGTATTGTTATATCTATTGTGTGCCAGTCTGGTATTGTTATAAATACTGTGTGCCAGGATGGTGTTGTTATATCTATTGTGTGCCAGTCTGGTATTGTTATAAATGCTGTGTGGCAGGCTTGTATTGTTATATCTATTGTGTGCCAGGATGGTGTTGTTGTAAATACTGTGTGCCAGGCTGCCAGGATGGTATTGTTATATTTATTGTGTGCCAGGCTGATGTTGTTATAAATACTGTGTGCCATGCTGGTTTTGTTATATCTATTGTGTGCCAGTCTGGTATTGTTATAAATGCTGTGTGCCAGGATGGTATTGTTATATCTATTGTGTGGCAGGCTGGTATTGTTATAAATGCTGTGTGCCAGGCTGTTGTTATATTTATTGTGTGCCAGGATGGTATTGTTAGAAATACTGTGTGCCAGGCTGGTATTGTTATATCTATTGTGTGCCAGGCTGGTATTGTTATAAATGCTGTGTGCCAGGATGGTATTGTTATAAATACTGTGTGCGAGGATGGTATTGTTATATCTATTGTGTGCGAGTCTGGTATTGTTATAAATATTGTGTGGCAGGCTGGTATTGTTATAAATACTGTGTGCCAGGCTGGTTTTGTTATATCTATTGTGTGCCAGGATGGTATTGTTATAAATGCTGTGTGCCAGTCTGGTATTGTTATATCTATTATGTGCCAGGATGGTATTGTTATAAATACTGTGTGCCAGTCTGGTATTGTTATATCTATTGTGTGCCAGGATGGTATTGTTATAAATACTGTGTGCCAGTCTGGTATTGTTATATCTATTGTGTGCCAGGATGGTATTGTTATAAATACTGTGTGCCAGGATGGTATTGTTATATCTATTGTGTGCCAAAATGGTATTGTTATAAATACTGTATGCCAGGATGGTATTGTTATATCTATTGTGTGCCAGTCTGGTATTGTTATAAATGCTGTGTGCCAGGCTGGTGTTGTTATATCTATTGTGTGCCAGTCTGGTATTGTTATAAATGCTGTGTGCCAGGATGGTATTGTTATAAATACTGTGTGCCAGGATGGTATTGTTATAAATATTGTGTGGCAGGCTGGTATTGTTACAAATACTGTGTGCCAGGCTGTTGTTATATCTATTGTGTGCCAAAATGGTATTGTTATAAATACTGTATGCCAGGATGGTATTGTTATATCTATTGTGTGCCAGGATGGTGTTGTTATAAATACTGTGTGCCAGGCTGTTGTTATATCTATTGTGTGCCAGTCTGGTATTGTTATAAATGCTGTGTGCCAGGATGGTATTGTTATAAATACTGTGTGCCAGGATGGTATTGTTATATCTATTGTGTGCCAGTCTGGTATTGTTATAAATGCTGTGTGGCATGCTTGTATTGTTATATCTATTGTGTGCCAGGATGGTGTTGTTGTAAATACTGTGTGCCAGGCTGGTATTGTTATTTCTATTGTGTGCCAGGCTGGTATTGTTATAAATACTGTGTGCCAGGCTGGTATTGTTATATCTATTGTGTGCCAGGCTGGTATTGTTATAAATGCTGTGTGCCAGGATGGTATTGTTATAAATACTGTGTGCCAGGATGGTATTGTTATATCTATTGTGTGCCAGGATGGTATTGTTATAAATACTGTGTGCCAGTCTGGTATTGTTATATCTATTGTGTGCCAGGATGGTATTGTTATAAATACTGTGTGCCAGTCTGGTATTGTTATATCTATTGTGTGCCAGGATGGTATTGTTATAAATACTGTGTGCCAGGATGGTATTGTTATTTCTATTGTGTGCCAGGATGGTATTGTTATAAATACTGTATGCCAGGATGGTATTGTTATATCTATTGTGTGCCAGTCTGGTATTGTTATAAATGCTGTGTGCCAGGATGGTATTGTTATAAATACTTTGTGCCAGGATGGTATTGTTATATCTATTGTGTGCCAGTCTGGTATTGTTATAAATATTGTGTGGCAGGCTGGTATTGTTACAAATACTGTGTGCCAGGCTGGTTTTGTTATATCTATTGTGTGCCAGTCTGGTATTGTTATAAATGCTGTGTGCCAGGATGGCATTGTTATAAATATTGTGTGGCAGGCTGGTATTGTTATAAATACTGTGTGCCAGGCTGGTTTTGTTATATCTATTGTGTGCCAGGCTGGTATTGTTATACCGTTTGCCAGGCTGGTATTGTTAGAAATTCTGTGTGCCAGGCTGGTATTGTTATAAATACTGGGGGCAGGCTGGTATTGTTTTATCTATTGTGTGCCAGGATGGTATTGTTATATTTATTGTGTGCCAGGCTGATGTTGTTATAAATACTGTGTGCCAGGCTGGTATTGTTATAAATATTGTGTGGCAGGCTGGTATTGTTATAAATACTGTGTGCCAGTCTGGTATTGTTATAAATATTGTGTGGCAGGATGGTATTGTTATAAATACTGTGTGCCAGGATGGTGTTGTTATATCTATTGTGTGCCAGTCTGGTATTGTTATAAATACTGTGTGCCAGGCTGGTATTGTTATATCTATTGTGTGCCAGGCTGGTATTGTTATAAATGCTGTGTGCCAGGATGGTATTGTTATAAATACTGTGTGCCAGGATGGTATTGTTATATCTATTGTGTGCGAGTCTGGTATTTTTATAAATATTGTGTGCCAGTCTGGTATTGTTATAAATGCTGTGTGCCAGTCTGGTATTGTTATATCTATTGTGTGCCAGGATGGTATTGTTATAAATACTGTATGCTAGGATGGTATTGTTATATCTATTGTGTGGCAGACTGGTATTGTTATAAATACTGTGTGCCAGGCTGGTGTTGTTATAAATATTGTGTGGCAGACTGGTATTGTTATAAATGCTGTGTGCCAGTCTGGTATTGTTATATCTATTGTGTGCCAGGATGGTATTGTTATAAATACTGTGTGCCAGGATGGTATTGTTATTTCTATTGTGTGCCAGGATGGTATTGTTATAAATACTGTATGCCAGGATGGTATTGTTATATCTTTTGTGTGCCAGTCTGGTATTGTTATAAATGCTGTGTGCCAGGCTGGGGTTGTTATATCTATTGTGTGCCAGTCTGGTATTGTTATAAATGCTGTGTGCCAGGATGGTATTGTTATAAATACTGTGTGCCAGGATGGTATTGTTATATCTATTGTGTGCCAGTCTGGTATTGTTATAAATACTGTGTGCCAGGATGGTGTTGTTATATCTATTGTGTGCCAGTCTGGTATTGTTATAAATGCTGTGTGGCAGGCTTGTATTGTTATATCTATTGTGTGCCAGGATGGTGTTGTTGTAAATACTGTGTGCCAGGCTGTTGTTATATCTATTGTGTGCCAGGATGGTATTGTTATAAATACTGTGTGCCAGGATGGTATTGTTATATCTATTGTGTGCCGGGGTGGTATTGTTATAAATACTGTGTGGCAGGCTGGTATTGTTATAAATACTGTGTGCCAGGCTGGTATTGTTATATCTATTGTGTGCCAGGATGGTATTGTTATAAATACTGTGTGGCAGGCTGGTATTGTTATATCTATTGTGTGCCAGTCTGGTATTGTTATAAATACTGTGTGGCAGGCTGGTATTGTTATATCTATTGTGTGCCAGGATGGTATTGTTATAAATACTGTGTGGCAGGCTGGTATTGTTATATATACTGTGTGCCAGGATGGTATTGTTATAAATACTGTGTGGCAGGCTGGTATTGTTATATCTATTGTGTGCCAGCCTGGTATTGTTATAAATGCTGTGTGGCAGGCTGGTATTGTTATATCTATTGTGTGCCAGGATGGTATTGTTATAAATACTGTGTGGCAGGCTGGTATTGTTATAAATACTGTGTGCCAGGATGGTATTGCTATAAATACTGTGTGGCAGGCTGGTATTGTTATATCTATTGTGTGCCAGCCTGGTATTGTTATAAATGCTGTGTGGCAGGCTGGTATTGTTATATCTATTGTGTGCCAGTCTGGTATTGTTATAAATGCTGTGTGCCAGGATGGTATTGTTATAAATACTGTGTGCCAGGATGGTATTGTTATATCTATTGTGTGCCAGCCTGGTATTGTTATAAATACTGTGTGGCAGGCTGGTATTGTTATATCTATTGTGTGCCAGCCTGGTATTGTTATAAATGCTGTGTGGCAGGCTGGTATTGTTATATCTATTGTGTGCCAGGCTGGTATTGTTATAAATGCTGTGTGCCAGGATGGTATTGTTATAAATACTGTGTGCCAGGATGGTATTGTTATATCTATTGTGTGCCAGGCTGGTATTGTTATATCTATTGTGTGCCAGCCTGGTATTGTTATAAATGCTGTGTGGCAGGCTGGTATTGTTATATCTATTGTGTGCCAGCCTGGTATTGTTATAAATACTGTGTGGCAGGCTGGTATTGTTATATCTATTGTGTGCCAGGCTGGTATTGTTATAAATATTGTGTGCCAGGCTGGTATTGTTATATCTATTGTGTGCCAGCCTGGTATTGTTATAAATGCTGTGTGCCAGTCTGGTATTGTTATAAATACTGTGTGGCAGGCTGGTATTGTTATATCTATTGTGTGCCAGGATGGTATTGTTATAAATACTGTGTGGCAGGCTGGTATTGTTATAAATACTGTGTGCCAGGATGGTATTGTTATAAATACTGTGTGGCAGGCTGGTATTGTTATATCTATTGTGTGCCAGGATGGTATTGTTATAAATACTGTGTGGCAGGCTGGTATTGTTATAAATACTGTGTGCCAGGATGGTATTGTTATAAATACTGTGTGGCAGGCTGGTATTGTTATATCTATTGTGTGCCAGCCTGGTATTGTTATAAATGCTGTGTGGCAGGCTGGTATTGTTATATCTATTGTGTGCCAGGCTGGTATTGTTATAAATGCTGTGTGCCAGGATGGTATTGTTATAAATACTGTGTGCCAGGATGGTATTGTTATATCTATTGTGTGCCAGCCTGGTATTGTTATAAATACTGTGTGGCAGGCTGGTATTGTTATATCTATTGTGTGCCAGCCTGGTATTGTTATAAATGCTGTGTGGCAGGCTGGTATTGTTATATCTATTGTGTGCCAGGCTGGTATTGTTATAAATGCTGTGTGCCAGGATGGTATTGTTATAAATACTGTGTGCCAGGATGGTATTGTTATATCTATTGTGTGCCAGCCTGGTATTGTTAGAAATACTGTGTGGCAGGCTGGTATTGTTATATCTATTGTGTGCCAGCCTGGTATTGTTATAAATGCTGTGTGGCAGGCTGGTATTGTTATATCTATTGTGTGCCAGCCTGGTATTGTTATAAATACTGTGTGGCAGGCTGGTATTGTTATATCTATTGTGTGCCAGGCTGGTATTGTTATAAATACTGTGTGCCAGGCTGGTATTGTTATATCTATTGTGTGCCAGCCTGGTATTGTTATAAATGCTGTGTGCCAGTCTGGTATTGTTATAAATACTGTGTGCCAGGCTGGTATTGTTATATCTATTGTGTGCCAGGCTGGTATTGTTATACCGTTTGCCAGGCTGGTATTGTTAGAAATACTGTGTGCCAGGCTGGTATTGTTATATCTATTGTGTGCCAGGATGGTATTGTTATATTTATTGTGTGCCAGGCTGATGTTGTTATAAATACTGTGTGCCATGCTGGTTTTGTTATATCTATTGTGTGCCAGTCTGGTATTGTTATAAATGCTGTGTGCCAGGATGGTATTGTTATATCTATTGTGTGGCAGGCTGGTATTGTTATAAATGCTGTGTGCCAGGCTGGTATTGTTATATCTATTGTGTGCCAGCCTGGTATTGTTATAAATTCTGTGTGCCAGTCTGGTATTGTTATAAATACTGTGTGCCAGGCTGGTATTGTTATATCTATTGTGTGCCAGGCTGGTATTGTTATACCGTTTGCCATGCTGGTATTGTTAGAAATACTGTGTGCCAGGCTGGTATTGTTATATCTATTGTGTGCCAGGATGGTATTGTTATATTTATTGTGTGCCAGGCTGATGTTGTTATAAATACTGTGTGCCAGGCTGGTTTTGTTATATCTATTGTGTGCCAGTCTGGTATTGTTATAAATGCTGTGTGCCAGGATGGTATTGTTATATCTATTGTGTGGCAGGCTGGTATTGTTATAAATGCTGTGTGCCAGGCTGTTGTTATATCTATTGTGTGCCAGGATGGTATTGTTAGAAATACTGTGTGCCAGGCTGGTATTGTTATATCTATTGTGTGCCAGGCTGGTATTTTTATAAATGCTGTGTGCCAGGATGGTATTGTTATAAATACTGTGTGCGAGGATGGTATTGTTATATCTATTCTGTGCCAGGATGGTATTGTTATAAATACTGTGTGCCAGGATGGTATTGTTATATCTATTGTGTGCCAGGATGGTATTGTTATAAATACTGTGTGGCAGGCTGGTATTGTTATAAATACTGTGTGCCAGGATGGTATTGTTATAAATACTGTGTGGCAGGCTGGTATTGTTATATCTATTGTGTGCCAGTCTGGTATTGTTATAAATGCTGTGTGGCAGGCTGGTATTGTTATATCTATTGTGTGCCAGGCTGGTATTGTTATAAATGCTGCTGTGCCAGGATGGTATTGTTATAAATACTGTGTGCCAGGATGGTATTGTTATATCTATTGTGTGCGAAGTCTGGTATTGTTATAACATTGTGTGGCAGGCTGCATTGTTATAAATGCTGTGCGCCAGGATGGTACTTGTTATAAATACTGTGTGCTGTGATGGTATTGTTATATCTACAGCCTGGTATTGTTAGAAATACTGTGTGGCAGGCTGGTATTGTTATCTATTGTGTGCCAGCCTGGTATTGTTATAAAATGCCAGGCAGGCTGGTTGTTATATTCCATTGTGTGCCAGCCTGGTATTGTTATAAAATACCGTGTGGCAGGCTGGTATCATTGTTATATTCCATTGTGTACAGGCTGGTGGTACTATAAATACCGTGTGCCAGGCTGGTATTGTTATATCTATTGTGTGCCAGCCTGGTATTGTTATAAGTGCTGTGTGCCAGTCTGGTATTGTTATAAATACTGTGTGCCAGGCTGGTATTGTTATATCTATTGTGTGCCAGGCTGGTATTGTTATACTGTGTGCCAGGCTGGTATTGTTATATCTATTGTGTGCCAGGATGGTATTGTTATATTTATTGTGTGCCAGGCTGGTGTTGTTATAAATACTGTGTGCCAGGCTGGTATTGTTATATCTATTGTGTGCCAGTCTGGTATTGTTATAAATGCTGTGTGCCAGGATGGTATTGTTATAAATACTGTGTGCCAGGATGGTATTGTTATATCTATTGTGTGCCGGGGTGGTATTGTTATAAATACTGTGTGGCAGGCTGGTATTGTTAGAAATACTGTGTGCCAGGCTGGTATTGTTATATCTATTGTGTGCCAGGATGGTATTGTTATAAATACTGTATGCCAGGATGGTATTGTTATATCTATTGTGTGCCGGGGTGGTATTGTTATAAATACTGTGTGGCAGGCTGGTATTGTTAGAAATACTGTGTGCCAGGCTGTTGTTATATCTATTGTGTGCCAGGATGGTATTGTTATAAATACTGTGTGCCAGGATGGTATTGTTATATCTATTGTGTGCCGGGGTGGTATTGTTATAAATACTGTGTGGCAGGCTGGTATTGTTATAAATACTGTGTGCCAGGATGGTATTGTTATATCTATTGTGTGCCAGTCTGGTATTGTTATAAATATTGTGTGCCAGGATGGTATTGTTATAAATACTGTGTGGCAGGCTTGTATTGTTATATCTATTGTGTGCCAGGATGGTGTTGTTATAAATACTGTGTGCCAGGCTGTTGTTATATCTATTGTGTGCCAGGATGGTATTGTTATAAATACTGTGTGGCAGGCTGGTATTGTTATAAATACTGTGTGCCAGGCTGGTGTTCTTATCTATTATGTGCCAGGCTGGTATTGTTATAAATACTGTGTGCCAGGCTGGTATTGTTATATCTATTGTGTGCCAGGCTGGTATTGTTATAAATACCTTTTGCCAGGCTGGTATTGTTATAAATACTGTGTGCCAGGCTGGTATTGTTATATCTATTGTGTGCCAGGCTGGTATTGTTATAAATACATTTTGCCAGGCTGGTATTGTTAGAAATACTGTGTGCCAGGCTGGTATTGTTATATCTATTGTGTGCCAGGCTGGTATTTTTATAAATACCGTGTGCCAGGCTGGTATTGTTATAAATACTGGGGGCAGGCTGGTATTGTTTTATCTATTGTGTGCCAGGCTGGTATTGGTATACCGTTTGCCAGGATGGTATTGTTAGAAATACGGTGTGCCAGGCTGGTATTGTTATATCTATTGTGTGCCAGGCTGGTATTGTTATAAATGCTGTGTGCCAGGATGGTATTGTTATAAATACTGTGTGCGAGGATGGTATTGTTATATCTATTGTGTGCGAGTCTGGTATTGTTATAAATATTGTGTGGCAGGCTGGTATTGTTATAAATACTGTGTGCCAGGCTGGTTTTGTTATATCTATTGTGTGCCAGTCTGGTATTGTTATAAATGCTGTGTGCCAGTCTGGTATTGTTATATCTATTATGTGCCAGGATGGTATTGTTATAAATACTGTGTGCCAGTCTGGTATTGTTATAAATACTGTGTGCCAGGATGGTATTGTTATAAATACTGTATGCCAGGATGGTATTGTTATATCTATTGTGTGCCAGTCTGGTATTGTTATAAATGCTGTGTGCCAGGCTGGTGTTGTTATATCTATTGTGTGCCAGTCTGGTATTGTTATAAATGCTGTGTGCCAGGATGGTATTGTTATGAATACTGTGTGCCAGGATGGTATTGTTATATCTATTGTGTGCCATTCTGGTATTGTTATAAATATTGTGTGGCAGGCTGGTATTGTTATAAATACTGTGTTCCAGGCTGGTTTTGTTATATCTATTGTGTGCCAGTCTGGTATTGTTATAAATGCTGTGTGCCAGGATAGCATTGTTATAAATATTGTGTGGCAGGCTGGTATTGTTATAAATACTGTGTGCCAGGCTGGTTTTGTTATATCTATTGTGTGCCAAGCTGGTATTGTTATACCGTTTGCCAGGCTGGTATTGTTAGAAATACTGTGTGCCAGGCTGGTATTGTTATATCTATTGTGTGCCAGGCTGGTATTTTTTATAAATACCGTGTGCCAGGCTGGTATTGTTATAAATACTGGGGGCAGGCTGGTATTGTTTTATCTATTGTGTGCCAGGATGGTATTGTTATATTTATTGTGTGCCAGGCTGATGTTGTTATAAATACTGTGTGCCAGGCTGGTATTGTTATAAATATTGTGTGTCAGGCTGGTATTGTTATAAATACTGTGTGCCAGTCTGGTATTGTTATAAATATTGTGTGCCAGGATGGTATTGTTATAAATGCTGTGTGCCAGGATGGTATTGTTATAAATACTGTGTGCCGGGATGGTATTGTTATATCTATTGTGTGCCAGTCTGGTATTGTTATAAATGCTGTGTGCCAGTCTGGTACTGGTATATCTATTGTGTGCCAGGATGGTATTGTTATAAATACTGTGTGCCAGGATGGTATTGTTATTTCTATTGTGTGCCAGGATGGTATTGTTATAAATACTGTATGCCAGGATGGTATTGTTATATCTATTGTGTGCCAGTCTGGTATTGTTATATCTATTGTGTGCCAGTCTGGTATTGTTATAAATGCTGTGTGGCAGGCTTGTATTGTTATATCTATTGTGTGCCAGGATGGTGTTGTTGTAAATACTGTGTGCCAGGCTGTTGTTATATCTATTGTGTGCCAGGATGGTATTGTTATAAATACTGTGTGCCAGGATGGTATTGTTATATCTATTGTGTGCCAGGCTGGTATTGTTATAAATACTGTGTGCCAGGCTGGTATTGTTATATCTATTGTGTGCCAGGCTGGTATTGTTATAAATGCTGTGTGCCAGGATGGTATTGTTATAAATACTGTGTGCCAGGATGGTATTGTTATATCTATTGTGTGCGAGTCTGGTATTGTTATAAATATTGTGTGGCAGGCTGGTATTGTTATAAATACTGTGTGCCAGGCTGGTTTTGTTATATCTATTGTGTGCCAGTCTAGTATTGTTATATCTATTGTGTGCCAGGATGGTATTGTTATAAATACTGTATGCTAGGATGGTATTGTTATATCTATTGTGTGCCAGTCTGGTATTGTTATAAATATTGTGTGGCAGACTGGTATTGTTATAAATACTGTGTGCCAGGCTGGTATTGTTATATCTATTGTGTGCCAGTCTGGTATTGTTATAAATGCTGTGTGCCAGTCTGGTACTGGTATATCTATTGTGTGCCAGGATGGTATTGTTATAAATACTGTGTGCCAGGATGGTATTGTTATTTCTATTGTGTGCCAGGATGGTATTGTTATAAATACTGTATGCCAGGATGGTATTGTTATATCTATTGTGTGCCAGTCTGGTATTGTTATATCTATTGTGTGCCAGTCTGGTATTGTTATAAATGCTGTGTGGCAGGCTTGTATTGTTATATCTATTGTGTGCCAGGATGGTGTTGTTATAAATACTGTGTGCTAGGCTGTTGTTATATCTATTGTGTGCCAGGATGGTATTGTTATAAATACTGTGTGCCAGCATGGTATTGTTATATCTATTGTGTGCCAGGATGGTATTGTTATAAATACTGTGTGGCAGGCTGGTATTGTTAGAAATACTGTGTGCCAGGCTGGTATTGTTATATCTATTGTGTGCCAGGCTGGTATTTTTATAAATACCGTGTGCCAGGCTGGTATTGTTATAAATACTGGGGGCAGGCTGGTATTGTTTTATCTATTGTGTGCCAGGATGGTATTGTTATATTTATTGTGTGCCAGGCTGATGTTGTTATAAATACTGTGTGCCAGGCTGGTATTGTTATAAATATTGTGTGGCAGGCTGGTATTGTTATAAATACTGTGTGCCAGGCTGGTTTTGTTATATCTATTGTGTGCCAGTCTGGTATTGTTATAAATGCTGTGTGCCAGGATGGTATTGTTATATCTATTGTGTGCCAGTCTGGTATTGTTATAAATATTGCGTGGCAGGCTGGTATTGTTATAAATACTGTGTGGCAGGCAGGTATTGTTATATCTATTGTGTGCCAGTCTGGTATTGTTATAAATGCTGTGTGGCAGGCTTGTATTGTTATATCTATTGTGTGCCAGGATGGTGTTGTTATAAATACTGTGTGCCAGGCTGTTGTTATATCTATTGTGTGCCAGGATGGTATTGTTATATCTATTGTGTGCCAGGATGGTATTGTTATAAATACCTTTTGCCAGGCTGGTATTGTTATAAATACTGTGTGCCAGGCTGGTATTGTTATATCTATTGTGTGCCAGGCTGGTATTGTTATAAATACTGTGTGCCAGTCTGGTATTGTTATATCTATTGTGTGCCAGGCTGGTATTTTTATAAATACTGGGGGCAGGCTGGTATTGTTGTATCTATTGTGTGCCTGGATGGTATTGTTATATTTATTGTGTGCCAGGCTGATGTTGTTATAAATACTGTGTGCCAGGCTGGTATTGTTATAAATACTGTGTGCCAGGCTGTGCTGCTTGGTATTGTAATATACCTTCTTAGCCTTACTCTGGGGAAGACATGGTGGAATACAGGAGAGTGTCAGATGGATGTTTTTGCAAAATAAAAATAAAAAACTGTTTAAATATATTCCAGTAAAATATCAGGAAGATCAAAGTTCTTCAAAATAACATCTCAAATCCCTTTACCACTAGGCACTTTGCTGGCAGCTATGTGCTATGTGTGCATCTTTCCAGTGTATCCATGGCAACACTAGTGTGAATAATTCCTTCCCACAACTCCTATTGGTCAGCAACATCTATCCCAAATAAATACCTTTTACTTCATCCAACTTGTACATCAGTCGTTTTCTTGACTACTTTCCTTGACATGTTTTTTTTTTATATAGCTTATCAAAAACTCATTGTTACCTACTCGGAGGAATTCAACCTCTCATTCATGGAAACTGAAACTGGGGCATGCAGTGCATCAAGAGTGACATTCTAGAGAAGCTCCATTAGTGATCAGTGGTCTGTACTGCATTGGCTATAAATGTAATTGTGTTGGGCCAATACCAATATTTTCGTTATTGAAGTTCTCAGCTTCTTCTAGATTGTGGGGTTGGTGCGGCCTGGAGAATAAGTCAGTTTTAATTGGTTGTGAAAAGAAATAGTCATTTAGTTCTTGGGCTTTGCTCTGTGCATGTACTGGCTGTGGCAAATCTAGCCACTTATAGACTTAAACCGCAAACTGTATATTTCTGCCACTGTTATCTGTATTGTGCAATGTATGCGGCATTCGTGTGTTACAGCACACGAATACCTCTAATGTTAAGTCTGGTTATCCACGAACAGTGTGGTGATTCACTGTTCGTGGATAACCAGACTTAACATTAGCGGTATTCGTGGAATAAGCAAAGTACCGAATGGGAGACCACCCATAGCCAGTCGTGTGTCTCCAATTAGGTACTTTGCAACAATGTATCCGTGCTGATTGAGGTCTGTTGCGGGTGGCTGCCATTCGTGTACCGAACACGAGGCGGCAGCCATCTTTGTTCGCGGAAAACCAGCGGGGTTTTGTCGTCGAGTGCCTGGAACTAAAATCAGCTACTCGGCAACACAAGCCCTGCTGGACTTCCGAGCTGTTCGGGAGTTTGCCGTTTCGGGACTTTCACTCCCTCAGTTCAGGCAATCGGGTAAACAAAGTGGTCCTGATAAGGGAAACTGAACCGCGTTCGGTTATTTGTGCTGGGATCTGAGCGCAAGTTCCCTTAACTGTGTGCCCAGGTCCCAGCTATGTAATAAATGGTTAAATAGCTGTCTAGCACAAATATGTTGGTTATGGATTTTAATATGAAAACTGTATTTCTCTGTACCAAGGGATAATCCCATTAGCAATGCATTCTGGGATAATTATCTCCTTGGTACTGCAATGTATGCTGGGTTCTCTGGCTGTAGAACTCAGTCCCCCATGTAGTCCCCTACTGGACAAACCCTGCATTGTGACTCGGGGAAACCCCATACAATTGTAACCACATAAATACTGTGCCTTTAATTAAAATGGCAGTTGACCTCCAAGCTATGTGTCGTCTAGTTCTTGGGAGAAAGGGATTGTAATTATGCTACCTGGATTTTGCCTGCTTTGTACCTGTTTTATTCTGTCTACCAGCGGAGATACCATGGATAAGACTACTACTCCGCTACACTGGCAGCCATAGTAAAAAGGATACATGGAAGCCCATAGTAATAAGGATTCATTGAAGCCCATAGTAATAAGGATTCATGGAAGTCCATAGTAATAAGGATTCATGGAAGTGCATAGTAATAAGGATTCACTGAAGTCCAGAGTAATAAAGATTCATGGAATTCCAGAGTAATGAGGATTCCCTGATCTCCATAACAATAAGGATTTATGGAAGTCACTCTGATGAGTAGTTTTCAATCGCCAATACCACCAGTTTTGGTCTTTATTAGTGCTCCAGGGTTGAACACTGCTTGTGCTAGGGTAAGACTCAAGCAGTTTCTGTCCAGTTTTTCATAATCTGGCAAGCTTCTTGGTTCTGTGCTGCAGAGTTGTTTGTTCATTCATGTTTCATCATTGGTTTATGGCTATATTTCCCCTATATTCAGAGACTTATTAGCCGCGAGGCAAACAAGGCATTTGCCTTGGGCGGCATTTTTCAGATGCCCAGGCAAATGCCTTGTTAGCCTCGCGGCTAACAGACATGCCGAGGGGCGGGCGGCGCTGAGCGGGCGGCTGGCGAGGGAGCTCTTCCTCTGAGCTGTCCGCTCAGCTCCCTTGCGCGCCGCAGAGTGAGGCTGGGAGCCGGAAGATGACGTCATATTCCAGCTCCCAGCCTCACTCTGCGGCGCGCGAGGGAGCTGAGCGGACAGCTCAGAGGAAGAGCTCCTTCGCCAGCCGCCCGACCGGCAGCCACTGGACCACCAGGGAGAGAGAGACCCCCCCCCCCGGCACTCCCAAAGGTAAGGAGGATGGGGGGGGGGATTAAAAAAAAAGTTAATGTGAGTGATTGTGTGTTTGTCTGACTGTGTGTGTGTGTTTGACTGTGTGTTTGACTGTGTTTGTGTCTGACTGTGTGTGTGTGTCTGACTGTGTGTGTGTGTTTGTGACTGTGTGTGTGTGTGTGTGTCTGACTGTGTCTGACTGTGTGTGTGTTTGTGTCTGACTGTGTGTGTTTGTGTCTGACTGTGTGTGTGTGTTTGTGTCTCACTGTGTGTGTGTGTGTCTGACTGTGTGTGTGTTTGTGTGTGTGTTTGTGTCTGACTGTGTGTGTTTGTGTCTGACTGTGTGTATGTGTGTGTGTGTTTGTGTCTAAATGTGTGTGTGTGTATTTAGAAGGTGGGGCGGGGGGGAAGGGTTGGGTGGGGGTGACGCTGGGGGCGCCTGAGTTTTGTCCTGCCTAGGGCAGCACAAAACCAGGATACACCACTGCCTATATTATTCAGTTGCTCTTTCCTACCCTGCCTAGAAATAGGTTACTCTCCAAAGGTACCAGGTACCTGCGCTTTTTCCTATGTGCTTTGTGCTCAGCAGAAGAGCTATCTCCTTCAGAGGAGATCGATACTAGAAGAGTAGACTCATTAATTTATGCAAGTCCTAGTAAGAAACATGCCACCTTTCCTCTATACTACAATTAAATATTTGACCACAGAAGAATGTCACATGGTGGAGAAATAAATGGCTATTTGAGGAAGAGTAAAGCACATATGTCTTTCAAGGATTTGTCATTCTGTACCGTGGCTCCCAAAGTGGGTGCTTCAGCAGTATGGCCTGGCCAGACAACTATTGTTCCAACTGACCATTCAGCCTCCCCTAGGGATCTGATGGAGTGCAGGACAGATTTTAAGCTTTCAAAATCCTACATTGCTTCATACGTTAGTTGCTCTAAGGCCCTCAAACAGTGGCTATAAGATGAGGAATATGACATCAAGCAAGAAGTCAGCCATTCCCATATGCTTGATTCCCTTACTGATTTTCATCTAGCCCCAGATTTCTGCAAAGAAGCTTTGGAAGATCTAGTTCTCTCTTCTTGAAGAACTATCGCCCTATTAGTAGCAGCTATGGCAAAAGACCTGGATGCAGATACTTTGTCTACAACTAATCTGTGCTCCTTCCTTTCCTGGGTGAAAAATGATCTACATGAAAGTATTAAAGGATACCTGTCATTCCCAAACTACTTTAGTTCATTTTAAAGAGCATGAAGTTTCATCTATACATTGTACTAGAAGTTTGTCTTACAAATGTACAGTATTTCTGCCCACCTGCCAATCAATTCTTTGACATAGACATCACTCTGTTCAGACTCTGGCATGGTTGTAATGAATCCAGCATGTAGGCGTCATGGAGGTTTGCCTTGTGTCGGAAAGTGTCCACTACCCGGCAAATCCGCGAAGAGAGTAGAAGGAGCAAGGGCAGACCGGAGGTGGGTGTATAAACTCACTTTTGTAATGATATCGCAGTGAGGAACGGAGGCTGAGGTAAGTGGTGGCAGTTCCCTTTAAAAAAGCTGCTGAAGAGAAGATAACTGTGATGCCTACTGACGAGGGTCCCAGAGGAGGTTCCTTTAATAATTAAGATCTACTCTCTTTTTCAGACACAAGACAGTACCATCTTGGTAGAGAAGCATACAGATCACAACTTTGTTAGGGAGGTCAGTTAACCCCAGATGATCAAGAAGAGGTTCTTCCTCCAGGCAAGTTAATAATTTATGACAGATTGGAAGATATTACATAGAGTCCATCGAAACTATCCCACACTAAAGATTTTTAGGATCCAGGTTCCTGCAGACAATACAAAGGTTCTGGCTCTGAGTGGACTAATTTCTTCATTACTCACAGAAAAAAAATTATAAACCCAGTTCCCTTAGAAGACAGTGGCAGTGTAGTACTACCATCTATTATATTTACCAATCTTATCTATATATGGCAGAGCAATCTTCTTTCTTTCTTTTTAAATGTTTGTGATTTTATCAAGGCTGGTACAAGGGTTTTTTTGCTACTCCAGCAAAGGCAAATTGTGCTGCCATCCAAAATATGTTGTTGCCTGTGTGGGCGCGTATGTCTCTTTAAGCCAACTTTGAATGGTGCATTTGTGGCAACTGCACCAATTTCATACAGAAGGAAGGGAGAAAGATTTAATTGAGATTTAATTGGGAGGAGGGGGTAGATAGGTTGCTGCCGAGAGAAGACATGTCACTGGAAAAAAGTAAACATTGATTTTATTTGGTGTGAGAGTGGTGAGGTGGCACCTGGCATCTAGAGGGGTAAAAGAATAGCCCAAATTTTAAAATTGAATATCAGCTTTTAACATTGGTATGCTCATCAGATGTATGTATATTATACATACATTTTTGTGTTATAGATTATCCATATTTGTGTATACACTATAAACATAAAAATAGATACACTGATCAGCTACAAAATTGATGGCTATCGTGAAGGCGCCCTCGTGTTGCCAAAACAGTCCTGATGCGTCGAGGCATTTGTAGCGGAGCTGCAATGTTAAATCCCAATATCTCTGCTGTTACCGAAAGTAATCCAAGTAAAGCACTGAAAATGAAGGCAATATCCTAAATCCCCCAGTAACCGGACGAAACACAGTTCTGGGAGTCAACTGATGATTTTATTCACAAGCACCAGTATTTATG